TAAAGGCTAGGCTTGCGGTGGGCGCGTCGCTATGCGGCAGCAGAGCAAGATGTCGGGCGACTTCCTCTCTGATAAAGTCTTTGATCTGGTTGGACAGACGTTCTTGGCGAACGTTGGCATTTGCGAGTGCGACGGCCGAGATCGAATCTGGTTGTGGGACACCCTGTCGGGCGATAGAACGCTGACGGCGCAATTTATCGAAGCTCTGGCACAGGCTTACGAGGATTGCCACCGTGGTCGGGCTTTCTGCTATCAACATCTGGAATGCGCCATCCTCGATGCCCTTGAGAATCTGTCGAATTTTCTCTTCTTCAGGCATAGATGGGTTTACACGCCTGCAGAGGTCGAGCACATCCTCAATGTAAGTACTAAACGTCTCGCCAGGCTGCTGGACTCGGTGGCGTAGACGCTGGTCGACGCGGAGCTTGCGGACCTCTGGTCGGCCGAACGCTTCAGTCGCGAGGGTCTTAAAGGAGGACCAGTTGGCGATGGCGGTTTCGCGGTTGGTATACCAAAGCTTAGCTACGTCTGCCAAGTAAAAGAAAACGTAGGCGAGCTTAGAGCCGTCGTCCCACTTGTTGCTGGCACTTACGCGTTTGTACAAGGAGAGCCAGTCTTCGACGTCTTGCTCACCACTGCCGCTGAAGATTGGTGTGTCCCGTTGGCGGGTAGCGCCGGGGCAGGTAGATGGGGCAGCCAATGGTGCTGGCTGGCGCTGGGATGGGCTGGTTGGCGACTGCGTCAGTCATGTTTCGCGGTGGTCTCTCGGCCAACTTGCGAGAGCGGAGCTCCAGGTCTGCTTGGGGATCTCAGCAGCCTCCACCAAATGCGAGAGGTACGGGGACCGATACCCCGCACTTCCACCAAGTGTGATGATGTTTATTCGAGCAGTGAAGTCGCAACGAGGTTGCAACAAAAAAAATAGCCGTACGGCAAGTCTGGCAAAGGCGGCACAGGCTCTCGCGCAATCAGAGCACGGGGCTTTTTGTTCTCTTCTGAAGGCGCATGCGTGTTGGTGCCGTATGCTCCACTACAACAGGAACACTGCTCAGGGAGTCTTCATTCTCCTCGGTATCTCTATCGCCTTCATCTGGATGGCAATCGGCAGTGACAGTGAAGCCCCTGTTCTTTTCGCTACGAACGAACTCGCAGACTTTCTCTTCGAGTTCTTTGCGCGGTCCCGTGAATCTTTTGGGCGTCATGGCGGCCTTGAGAATCTGGTCGCACTGCTTCTTCCATCTGATGATGCAGGCTTGGTCCACACCGAATCTGCAGCAGCACTGTGATTGCCATTGTCCTCAGCAAGTGCAATTGCAGCTCGCTTAAACTTAAGGTTGTAGGAGGCTCTCTTTGCACTCATTCTGACCATTGTCAGTGCTATCGAACAACTGACAAAGAAACATGCTTAGGCCACCTGCCACTGCAAAGCCTGTGCAACCTGTCCAGCCTTGCGGATTGGATTAGATTATCCGCCAACTCTTGTGCCGCTATCTCTTGTCTCATCCTAGCAACATACCACATGGCAGCTTCCGAGATTAGCGACGAGGGCGCACTTGGCAGCTCTGACTGCACCATGCTCACAGAAAGGCAAAAAAAAAATAAGGTGCTCAGATTCGCAAGCAATCTTTTTTCAAACTATTGCTTGTGAAAACATTGGGGGTGCTTAAAATCGTGTAAATACATTACAGTCGAACCCCGCTGTAATGAAATTGACGGGGTCCAGAAAAAAAATTTTGTTGAAGCGAAAATTTCGTTGTAGTGAAATCGAAAAAATATATAGCTGATCTTAGCTAGCAAGACAAAGGAACGTTTATTCTCAAAGTTCAAAAAGTGTCCGCTGCTTCCTATTCTTTCCCAGCATCGCCACGACGCGATTCTCACCCATGCATAGCGAGGCCATAGTGAAAAGCACGCTGAAACAACGCCTAGAACTGCTTTCGTGAACGAACCAAGGAGTTCCATAACATGTTAACACCAGCAGCTGTCTGCCGTCAAAGTGTATTCGACAATGCCGAGATGGAGGCAGGGTATCGTAGAGCGGTGACTTTTGCCTTATTCTATGCCATTCCTATCATCCACCACTCGCGGCTAGCTGATCTTATTAATGCAGACGAACAGCTGCTCTGATTAGTTACTGCAATGACTAAACTCGAACAAAATCATATGCATTGGCATCGAAAAAGGCATCGTTTCAGTACAGCTGCTTGGAAAAAAAAAAAAAAAAACACTGAACTGAGCGATTGAGCTTTAGCTTCAAATTATCTGCGGCTCAAAAGCAAGCCAGTGGCAGGGCAGTCTCATTGCCATCACTATCGAGCAATGGTGGAGCCCATGCTTGCTGAACAGCGGTGGTTTATGGTGGTGCCAGCGCGTGTTTTAGACTTCTTCAATACATTTTCACGTTCTGAAAATGCATCAAAATGTTAAAGATTGTGTTTACTGTACAGCAATAAATATATGAGCCTGGAATTGCATTGTGAAATTTCGCTGAAGCAGGACAGCAGAAGAAAAAGTGTTGGTTGTGGCGACAATATTTATGCATTGACTCCTATGAACTGCTCATGGAGGAACCGTGAATTTTTCATTGCAGCGGAAATTTCGTTGAAGCGGCATTCGTTGTAGCGGGGTTTGACTGTATTCACATGTGAGCGTTATTCTAATAAAGGCAAAACTGCATGTGGCAGCACACACAAGGTTAAACTACGAACACACACACATCGCTGAACTTCAACCAAATCGAAATTCAGTGCTTGTGTTATTCCTTTGCATGTGCATTCATTGTATAACTTGGTATGTACTGCTCTATGCCACAGTGACTTGCCAAATAGCCTGCAAGTATGTTTTAACCAATTTTAATAAAACTTAATGCCGTAATTACTCGAATCTAACGCGCACATTTTTTCTGGTTAAGCGAGTTCATAAATCGCATGCGCGTTAGAATTGAGTACGGAAAAAAAAAAAAGGATACGGTCATTCTATTGCCATCGGCATTTCCAAAATGGCTGCCCCCTACGTGCGTCGGCATGGCACGTCGGCCATTTTTGCCTATGTGTTTCCCATGTGCGGCACTTCGTACGTGTGCTGAGGAGTTCGTCATATTGTAGTGCATTAGCATTGACGGCATGGAAGGGCCGACTCGAAAAACTCGACGAGTGCACCACGATGCCGCTTTTAAAAGAAAAGTCATCGCGTGTGCCGAAACGGACGGAAATTGGGCCGCATCGTGGTCGCTTGAAATTCCCTGAAACGTGCCCGTGGGACTGGCAGAAACAAAAGCAGAAGATTGTCGACAGCAAAGATTCACGCAAAGGCTTCATTAGACCACAGCAGGGCCGGTTTCCACAAACTAAAGAGCTGCTCGGCGAGTATGTGATTGAGCAGTGAGCGGCACAGCGGCCCGTGATGACAGAACTGCTCCAAGTGCAGGCTATGCAGTTAGCCTTAGAAAAAGGACTAATGCGGAGCCAGTTTAAAGCGAGCAGGTGCAGGCTAACTAACTTTATGAAGAGGAAAGGCTTTTCCCTCCGAAGGCGAACGGGCATATGCGAAAAGTTTCCGAAGGAGTACGATGAAAAGCTTCACAGTTTTCAGAGGTTCGTCCTAAACTTGCGGCACAACAACGGCTACCTGCTTGGGCAAATTGGGAATGCCGATCAGACCCCTCTTTACTTCGACATGCCTGGCACCACAACCGTCGCGAAGAAGGGGGCGAAGCAGGTTCGCATGCTGACATCAGGCCACAGTAAAACTAGAGTGACGGCAATGCTCGGTTGCACGTGAGATAGGCACAAGCTTCCACCGTACCTCATATTTCAACAGAAGACGCTCTCGAAGGGAAGTCGTTTTCCCGAGTGGTGTGATCGTGCGGGCCAACGAGAAAAGTGGGTGCGCATTGCTATCAGTGTCTTGCTTTTTTTTTTTTTCCGTCGTGGAAACCAGGTGCACGTTACAATCGAGGGCATGGTAGAATCGAGTAAATACGGTACCTGCATCTTGCAAATTAGCACAATCACTGTTGTTTACCCTGTTTTCTGCATTTTTTTTCCTGGGTTTCTCACTTGCCTAAGGTAATGCTCCACAAAAGGGGCTGTGACTGTTTTTATCACTACATGTGAAAAATCAATGCAGATGCTGTCACATTTAGATGTGATAACCATAAAGGGAAATGTAAAATACTGGATGCTACTGCACGTGACTTTGTGGGATTGAAACAAGATTGGCATTTTATAAAATGGGAACCAGAAATTCGTAACATACACGAACACACCAATGAGGTTGTACATTATTTGTGAAAGTTTTTAATGCTGCTAGGATCAGTACCTTGTCATGCTCCTATTGTGCTTCCATTGTTGCGGTTGACTTTCACTTTCCCCATCGCAACTTGATCATTTATCAATTCCCATGGTTGAAGTGTCATTGTTTTGTTGGAACATTTTTTGTTACAGAATAGTGGCTTGACACTTGTGCGTGGCTAGGTGAGGTAGGAGAAATTCGCATAGCTGGTGCTGTTGTAGTTCCTTTGGTCATTGCTTATGAAAGGAGCGTGTCATGTGGCCGCAACACATTTGGGCCTCTTTTGTAACTTCGCATTGTCTGCTTTGTGCATGTTTCAGCCATTCCATGCTCATTTTAATCTGGATAACTATAAGTTGTGGCAATGATGCAGACTTTTGCAATATTTTTTCCAGCCTGGCCAGTCTCTTTTGTGAAGTGCCGCATGAAAATTTAAGCCCGCATTTTTTTTTTGTCTGGAACCTTGATTCCATTTTTTAAATTATTCAGGACCACAAAGCAGCACTTTCGGTTTTTGTGAGGAAGCTTATAATGACAATCGTGGCGTCTCTCATAATCATAGCGTGGTTTTGGGACATTAAACATAGCGCCGACAAATCAATTATAATGATAATCGCATTGCTTGACAGATCGAAAAAGCCCTACAGTGAGATACAAAAGAGAGGAGACGGTGGATAGGTCACTGAAGTGTTGACCTGCTGTTGTAGGTTCATCTGGTGCAGGCACAAGCCCAAACACTGACTTCAGCCGCAGGAGGCGCATCTACTCCTGTGACGGATGGCAGTGGTGGCCTGGAATCCCCTGACCTGACAGATGGGGGTGCCTCCCAGGGGGCGAACGATGGGGCGAGCACCCCAACAGGGGCTGGCAGTAGTGGTGGCAATGCTGGCCTCAGGAGACTGCGTCGGGTGGCGTGCACCTGCCCAAATTGCCGTGAGGGTGAAGGCAGGTCAGTGAAACTCTCTCATTCCATCCTGCCTTGTCTTAATTCGTGATACTCAGAATTTGTAAGCCGGTATAACAATTCCCCCTGGGTAGGTGTTTTCACGGTTTAGAATTTCTTTAGTGCAGTGAAATTACCTTTACATGAGGTCACATGTAGGTCAATATACATTTATTCTGAAAAGGGGTTTATTGACATGTGTTGCGACGGCGGTTCTACACGATGAAAACGCGATCGGGACAGAGCAACGTTCAGGCAGATTCCGGCAATGATCAGCGTGATGCGAGCGAGCGAGACGAGCCCAGCACCCAGTACCCATGCGGTGGCGATGCTGCTTGCCAACGATGCGTTTTCGTCTTCACAATTTGTTCATTTCAAGTACTTTGAAATATTCAATAACTTCAATTTCTGTCGAAGCGAATTCGAGTGCTGTAATATTCGTTTGAATATTCAAAGCATTTGAATATTTATACAAACCTAGTTGTAATGCTATTGCCAACTATAAGAAGTGGGTTTCCTTTTCGTTTGAATGTTCAAAGCATTCGAATATTCATACAAGCCTAGTTGTAATGTTATTGCCAATCATAAAGAGTGGGTTTCCTTTTCAATAAACTTCAGTTTTCAGTCAGTGCCTGTCTCATGCCTTCTTCTCTGTGTCCAAATTTTCATACACCAATCATCTCGTTATGGATGTATCAGACATTTATTTTGTCTTTGGAATCCTGCTGTGGGGGAAAGCATAGCAAGGAGCATCTGGCAATCGTCATGGGAGGTAGCATGTCAGAGGTGGTCACATTTTGGCTCCTTTTTATAGGCATGTTTAAACATCCAAGATTTTTAAAGAGGATTAATCACTGCCTGTTTCAGGCCCGTAGCCAGACAGGAGGAAGGCCTGCCCCCCCCCCCCCCCCCTTACTTCGAAATTCAAATGAAGCGGGGTGTTTCAACAAGAATAATTAATGAAAATAGGGGTTTTACAAGGTCTTCAACAAGTGAGCCCACCTGAAAAAAAATTTCTGGCTTTGGGACTGGCCTGTCTGGTATGAAGGAAACAACACTAAGGGGTGTATAATCTAAGAACATTTTGAAAAGTATGTGCAGAAGCTTGACAGGAAATACAAACTTCAGAACTGCATTGTGCTGATGTTTATAGACAAGTGGGCCACCCTAGGGCACATAAGCAATCACAAGGCTATTGATGTAGATAGAGCCTCTACCACCAAATACAAGTGTCTCACAGCCGATAATCCAGGGTGTTGTTTAGAGCATGAAGGTTCAGCAGCAGTTGCAGAAAGAACTTTGTTGTAGCCTTTGTGATTTGCCTGTGGTCATTTTTTTTTGTCTTATGTTCGGAAGACAGTAACATCAGACACAATCCCCAACTGTTTTCGCCATTAAGGGTTTATCCTTGATAATAAGGACAGTGCCTGTAGTCCGCTGTAGCCGGGATCCCGTACCCGTGATTCCACCTGCCACGTCATTAGACATTATCGATGGTCTCTGTTCTTGCGGGGTTTGTATCCCTGCTACAGACAGTGCCTCCTGCATTGTGCTAAGTTGAATGATCACATCGTTTGTCATGTTCTTGAGCACTCACAAGTAAACAGTGACTTTGACGATGTTGTGTGGTCCACGTTGCAGCCATTGAATGCAGAAATGGTGCAGCACCTAACAACACTTTTTTCTGGGTATGGCAATAGTCAGACATTGGCTGATATTCAGGCTGGCCTGATGAGAGTCATCACAACCTGGTGTGCAGTTAAGCATTGAGAAGTGTTTCAGCCATTGGGACAATAGACATACTTTATTCTGGTGAACCTTTTTTTTTCCCACTCTTTGTTTAATTCAGTATTTTAACATTGCCCCGAACTAATGGCCACCAACAGTGCAACACAACCATTTGTAATGCAGGACCAGCTATGACATGGTCTTTTCTGATTCCAGTCTGCCCTCCCATAGAACTCTATGTATACAGACAGCACTTTATGTGCAGCCCTTTGCAGTCAGATTGATTATAATAGACTAAGAGAAAGGGAAATACTAGTAATAAAATCTTGAGGCAGCAATGCGACGCAAGTGTATAAAATGAAGAGGGGATGGCACGGTTGCCTAGGTGACAGAGAAGCTTTCGCTGTGGCCCTTTGTCTGTGTTGGTGTTCTGTGGGGGAGGTCTGAGTAATTGAGGAAGTTTGAAAACATGGTGAAATATCCTTATGAAATTCTTGTAGAGTTGTGCAAATACCAGTAACTGTGGGTGCAAAGTGAATTGGAATATTGTGTAAATGGAATATTTTTTAAGTACTTCCAAACAACATCACAGAAAAAAAGTTGAGGATTCCTAAGCATATTCTTATGAGATGAGAATATGAAGGCAGTTTCTTTTGGCTTGGTTGGTGAAGCACCAGAGGGGTGTTGCTACGAACACCCCTATGTCTTATAAAGAATGAGGAAATGTAGAGGTCGAATTGTGGGTACAGTAGACCCTCATTAGAAAGAACCTGAAGCGACCAGGAAAATGTGTTTCATTTAACAGGAGGTTTAGTGAGAAATGAAGAGGGTGCTGAATAAATTTACAAAACCAACAGACGCAGTTGTTCCAATTAAGCAGCAGTTCTATTTAACAGATTTCTGTTTACTGAGAGTCTGCTGTATTTGCTTGATTTGGAACATACAAAATGGTGTCAACAACATTTTGCATATGAGAGGAAAAGACGGTATTTCCTCAATCTCTCCTCCTCTTTGAACTTCTGTGGAGGCCTTAAAGATATGGCAAGCAAAGGTGCGCCTCGACTTCGGAATAGCAGTCTGCCTGTCTTGTTTCTTATTCACACGTGCAAACGCGCAAGGAAAATACATTGTGCATCTGCCACGGGAAAACTAAACTGGGCTTCCGGCTGTTGTGTGATGTAAGATGCAGTATTGCCATGAGCCTGGATAACTTGATATGCCACCAATTTTTGGGTGGTACCAATAAAAAAATTGCATATTAGGTCCATTTTTTGCTGCCAAGATATTATTGAGAAAGCTTGTTTCTCAAGACTAGTCAATCGAGTAAAGACAGAAACCATATACACGGCCTTAGCTGCAGCCGACTACCTGTGGCAGATGTAGTGACATTGCCATCACAAAATGGCAATGGAACACATTTTAAAGCTAGTCCAGACAGGCTCACTTTGTGCTCAACGACGATTTGTCGGCATCTAACTTGTTCTCAGCAAAGTGAAAATGGGAATGTGCCCCTTTCTTTCGAAAGCTCATAGTCATAAGAAAGTAGTTGCTTACGTGAGGACAACTTCATTTTGTCTATTTGGTGTGCCTGAAACCAGTGTTTGTGAGTGGTGGAAACAAAGGTAGGGAATCTTCAGCCGCATGTCAATCAAGAATAATAAGGAAAATAACTAAACATGCGGATTGATTCCTATGACAATATTGGAGGCGCTCTCAAGCAGCTCTGCGTATATAGAGTTTGTCAAGGTAATGGCCCTTGAAATGGCACGCAATCAAGGCATATCCAGAAGTTACCTGAAACCAAGCAAAACTGAACCACTGAAGGAAAGGAACTGCCAGCAGAATAAATTTCACCTTCGATGGTGTATTGTTCTTGCCTTTTCTGTCTAACCATCAACATGATGGCTTGCCACAGATTTGCGATAACTTGTAAGTGATACTCATGATTGCACTTTAATTTAGAACTCTCGAAATTGAGTGTGCATTACGCATGATTAAGTATGGTATAAGCAGATGCTGTGCTTAGCACTTTCACGCTGCGTTCTTTTCAGCCTATGCACTGGAATTGGGCTACTAAGTCTACAAGGCATCGGGACACTGCAACACTCGTTAATCTTTGATAGGCCGAGGTTTGAAAACGGAGTTGAGTTTACATGCATCATATAAAACAGGGGTTTCAAACACGCAGCCCACCAACCTCTTGCTTGCGACCCACGGCAATGACATTCTTTGTCCTATATTTATTTTGTTACATTGTGACTGTTCGCGACACTTCTAAATGGTTCTCATATTATTTTGCACGTACCGTGATTAATAACTCTTTCTGTGGGTAAGCTTTGCAGGCTAGACTGGTCTTCATCATTTTTTCATGAGGCATGTGATGCAATCACATTGTGTTGATTAATGACCGCGGAACTAAAACTCTATAGTATTGGTGTACAGATGTCAGTGATTGTTTAGATCGGTATCGATGTGCGTCTGGAAACCTGGCACTGAATCACTTTTAGGAACGACTCATATAAGATATAGGATATGGGAAATACTTTCAATTAAAGATGTTGTCCCCCCCCCCCCCCCCCTCCACTTTCCATATATTCACTCCATCCTGACCCTCTGAGGGTTTTAATCTCGTCACTATGGTCGGGTAGCTGGAGTCAGTTTGAGACCTCTGATTGGATGAAGCTATTATATTATTATTTCTTAGATGTTTGAATACATTGAATATTGACATTTCTCTGTGAATTGAATCTAATTAAACACCATTCACAAGATATTGATACAGAACAGCCGCAGCAGTCTTGCTGCATAAAAGAGAAAGACAACGACAGTTGTTGCCGGTTGTTGATGAGCTCTGCGCATCGCAAATAGTTTAATAAATAAGTTACAGCGTAACAATATCTCAATGTTAGAATATTCACATACCCCTAGTTTCTTTCTTTGTTTCTTTCTGCATTCATTACTCATTATGTCAGCACTGTGGGTCCTTTCATGTTAACCTTTCAAAATTGGTAAACTTGTATAGATACAAAAATTTCTGTCACATGCCTCAATTCTTGGATGTGCAGGGCTGCTTGGTCTATGTGTTCTGCGCATGTGCAGCTTATAAAAATACTTTGGCTACAGTGTAAGACCACTTGCAGAGCAGGTATTCGTGATTGTAGTGACTTGCATGCGGTGGTCTATGCTGTGATACATTTGAACCTAACCTCTCAACACTGAGCAGAGAAAAGCACACTTTGTACTGAAACAGTGCTTTTCTCCTATTTATGGGTATCTCTTATTTCACTGTAACCATCAACAAATAAAGAAGAGCACAGCCATGATAGTATTGTTTGGTCATGCAGGAACAGCGAGAACAAGCGGCGGCAGCATGTATGCCACATTGCGGGCTGCCATAAAGTTTACGGGAAAAACGTCTCATCTGCGGGCCCACCTGCGCTGGCACACCGGCGAGCGGCCCTTCGTTTGCGAGTGGCTCTTTTGTGGCAAGCGCTTCACGCGCTCTGATGAACTGCAGCGACACAAGCGCACCCACACAGGTCAGTCTTTAACTTCACAAATTGAACGAATGGCCATGTAATTCATATCAAATACAGTGAAACCTTGTTAAACCGTAGTTGGCCGGAGCTCGGAAAAAGCATATACTAAACGGTAGTACTGCTTAACCGAAATAGCGTCAGGTCGCTCACTTACCTGTCAAAAAAAGAAACCTTCAGAGAGTGTGATGAAAGAACAAAAAACTGAGCAGTAATTTATTAACTTCGCGTGACAAAGTGTGTAATCATCATTTGGCGACGCGGCGGCCTAGCAGCAACGACAGCGGCCTCAAACTCGCTTATGCTGTGAGCAAGCTTTTCTGCCAGCCCCCTCTTCTCGGCAAATGCCCGCATGACGCTGACGCAATGCGCAGCTCCGGCCACTGTCGGACCTGGATCACCCGTGTTGTCGCTTTCCATGTCGTCCTCATCACTATCATTTGGCGACACTTTGACAACCGAGGCAACAATGGCTTCGTCGGACATGTCCGGAGATGTCTGCACATCGCTGTCTGCGTCTCTGAAGTCGGGGAAGGAAATGCCTTCCGTAACGCCCTGCCGCTCCAGCACTTCAGCTAGCAGAGTTTTGCAAGCTTCGTCTACTATGTCCGAAGTCTGGTCGATGGTGTCACTGGGGTCACCTGCGTCGCCCGCACACACACTGAAGCCAGCACGCTTGAAGCAATTTTGAGCTGTCATTGCTTCAACCTACCGCCACGAGTATTCGAGCAGGTGAATCGCGCTAATCAGGTCGATGGAGAATAATTTGCCGCATTCAATGGCGAGAAGAAATCTGCACAGCAGATTCTTCTTGTAGAGCTGTTTTACAGCTCGAATGATGCTTTGGTCCAAGGGCTGGGCAATCGCTGTTGTGTTAGGTGGCAGAAACGCCAACTTCACAGCCGTCAGGTTGTCCAGGGTGACGTGCGTCGAAGCGTTGTCTAAAATAATAACAACTCTTCTGTTCTTAGCCGCAAAACGACGATCGATGAGGCGCACGTACTCCTCAAAGAGATTTGCCGTCATACATACTTTGGTGTTGCTGCGATAGATGACCCCTGATGGCAACCGGGTGCCTTTGAAACATCTAGGCTTCGCCGACTTTCCAATCACGAGGAGCGGAGTTTTGTTGGTTCCAGTCATGTTTACGCAAAACGCCACTGATATTCTGTCTTTTGCATGCTTGCCACCGGTGCACGTCTCACCTTTGAACGCGAGCGTTTTGTCTGGTAGCAGCTTAAAGAATAGCGCCGATTCATCCATATTAAAGATGTCATCAGGTGCGTAGCCTTCCAAGATGTTCTTCAGCTGACCATTTTGCCACTGCTCCGGGCCATCCACGTCAGCAGCAGCACCTTCTCCCGAAACAGTCCTTGTGGTAATGCCGTGCCTCGCCTTAAATCTGGCCAGCCAGCCATTGCTGCACACGAAGTTGTCATGGTTGAGCTGCGAGGCAAAAACTAGGGCCTTCTCCACGAGCAGGGGTCCGCTGATAGGCAGATTTTTTGACCAGGCAGCTTTTAGCCACTTCACCAGCGCCTCCTCTACATCTGAAAACGCCGAACCGCGTAGCCGGCACCTTTTCGCAGTTTGAATTATGTCCAATTTCTCCTCTATTTTTAGCACTCGATGCTTTTGTCCCAGCTTCGGCATGACGCAAGTACGAAGCAGCACAAGCACACATACACAACACGTGAAAAACGATGCGAGAGCTGTACGGCACGGATCAACCAGAGAACACCTATGCATGGCGCCAAAGGAACAAAGAAAGCAAAGCAAGTGCACACCGTGTTTGCGTGTTTGTGCAAAGCGGCATTGCGTGGACAACACCAGAAGCCTAGCCGGCCGAGTGCTTCTTGTTGCAGAAAAATCCAAGAGATGGCGCTCACCAACACAGCCACCATCATCATCAACACAGACAAGCGAGGCGTGTTTCGATCTTTGGAGCTTGCTGTTCTGTCGGGACGCCCAGTGGAGGACGACATGCCGCGTCGAGTGCGCAACTAAAATTGGAAAAACTACTTATTAACCGATACATACGCGATAAGCTGGTACGGCTTATGCGGATACAAAATGCATTATGTTCAGTGGCCGCCGAGTCGGGGATTTGGCTTCATTACTTTTAAAACGAAACTACTGTTTACGCGGGTACGGTTTAACAAGGTTTCACTGTAGAACAATATTGGAATACTGGGATGAAGTCCTCCGACAGTGCCGTGCTTCCTCATTGTTCTGTTTTTGCCGTTCCGTACAGTCAGTATTTTTATAAAGGGCATGTGAATATTTAGAGTTATTATATTATGGATAGAATACATTGTTGTTATATAAGCATTTGATTGGATAGATAGTCAACATTTAAAACACCGAACGCTAAGTGCAATTCAAAGACTGATAGTATGTGCACCTATACACATAGCAGGAATATGCCTGACTTAAGAAAGCATATTATTGTGACAGATGTGTGAGGTGAACATAAGCGCTTCTGTCTTTTCACTTTGACCCTGTTGTTCACTGCAGGGGAAAAGCGCTTCCAGTGTGCTGAGTGCCTGAAGCGCTTTATGCGCAGCGACCACCTGTCCAAGCACCTCAAGACCCACGTTAGCAAAAAGGGCGCGATCTCCGGCGTGAGTGCAGTGGCCAACGCATCACATGACGACTTTGCCCCGGACTCCTGCGATTTGGAGATGTCTGTCGACGTCTCGGACCATGACCTCTCGATAAACGAGTCGGCTCTTGCCGAGAACAATGGCACCACACATGTCCTTTCCGCTTGAGACTGCGCATCTTGGCAGTGCTGCACATCTCATCACACATCTGGTTCCTATTTGCTGTGTTTCCCACAATCTTTGAAGCTCTTGGCGTGAGGGGCATGCATTTGTCGAATTATTTGTGCCATTAGGGCACTCTTGTCTGGAACTCGTGTACCGCACTTTGCCTGTGATCTGCATTGGTAGTATGGTAGGCTTTACAAGCAATTCTGTGTCACCTGTGTGATGAAATGTTCGTTTCAATGATAGTTACAGATAATCGTTGGTATAACGAAGTTGGTAAAATTATCGATTTGCTTTGTTACGCTGAAACTTTGCTGCATTGAGATTTAAACTTTTATGCGAAGTATGGTCACTGAATAATTATTGTTAAATTCATGAACGGTCAAATACTATGGTAATAAAAAAACTAAAAATTTCAATACAATTAAACCTTGTCATGACGAAATCAAAGGAGCACCATGATTTTTTCGTTGTAACTAATAGTTTATATAGCTGTGGTAAGTGTTTACTGCAAATAGTATGTACTGTACTGAACCACAAATGGTTGGTGAAATAGCATTTTGCTCATGCTGTTGCAGAACCAGACCAGCCCAATCTGGATATAAAAAAGAAAAGTCACACCTACTGCAGTTTGAAGTGACGGATGGGGGCGGGAGGTAGAGGGGAGAAATAAGTTTAGGAATGCCAAGTACTCGATTTTTGTTATGCACTTGTGACATCTATGATACACATAGAAGCCAGAAGCAAATGTGCTTGTGTTCTTGCACTGGCGCTGCCGCTGGTGTTAGGGATTTTTGAAATCGGAAGGTCACTCCAGACTTTTCTTTAGATTACCATGTGGCAGGAGGCACGGCTCGCTGGCATTGTATGTGTAGTTCAACGGTGTTAATCAGAGCAGTTGATGGCCCCTTCACTGCCACTCATACTGGGGAAAACCCTGCTTGAAACATATCATAGCAAACTTTTACTGCAGTTAAATAGACATGCTTGCAATAATTGTAGGCTCTTGTGGCGCCACAAGAGATGCAGGTTCGTGTGAAGCTCAATATGCACAGCCATGGGAAAAAAAAAAAGAAAGCTATGAATTGAAAGTATTACAAATGAGTGACTAGTCGGCGAGCACAGGTGCACGCAACACAGGTCTGGCTGTTTGAAAATTTAATAGGAAGCTTGGAAATCATACCAGATGCAAATATGGCACAGAAAAAGTAGCACTACTATTTTAAGGTCTGTGGAGAACTTGTTAGGTAAATAATTAAGATGGACAGGACAAATTGATATGCAAGATTGTAGGCCATGGAAATATGTTTGAATGGGAGAAATGCAGCAAAAGGAAATGTGTCACTGAATGGAGCACACTAGTTTCAATGGTAGCATGTGAATGCAGCTAAAGGACTCGCAGGTTGAAAACCTTGAATCGTCAAGAATTGTTTGTTCGCTATGCCCACTCGTGTATTGGTTCTACATTTTAAAAAATTCAGAAGTAATGTGTTATTTTGCTTGTGACTCAGGCATTTATCTTTCTTGTGCATAATGTGCACTTAATGAACAGAAAGATGCCAGTGCATCTCAGATCAACTAATAAGCCTTTATTGGCTCATCAATAGATTAGACACAGTTCTCTCAGGGGTACAACAGCTGCGCGAATTGCGCCAATTTGATACAATTTCTGATTGTTGCACCGAGCTGTGCTAAAACCGTGAAATTTGCTAAAATGAAATTTTGAAATTTGCCAAAATGCTCAGGCAGCCTCAAAATTTTATAAGGTTCGCTTATTTCAGAGAGAAATGCAGGCCATGTCGGCCACCTACAGTTTGCGCCATCAGTCAAAGCACGCAGACGCCAACTATAGTGCCTAGAATATACTTAAATTATTCTAGGCACCTGCCCATGCTCGCGAGACGTGATCGACCAGATAAAGTAACAACGTTGCGCGCCCATCGGTACTCTGGCCGCAGCGGATACTTACTGGCTGGACGACTGAACTTCAAGACAAAGATGCGTTGCTGTTGCCACCAACGCTTTGTGGGAAATGTAAATTTCCTAGTCTAAAAATGCGGCTATGGCTTGTTAGAAACTAAACCTGGAAGCGTATGCTGCGTTTTCCTCGTGCGAGCAAGCTCGACGTGCTGTGAACGCTGGTGTTACCAGCGACCACGTTGATTGCCTTAGCAGTGGCACATAAAACAGCTTTTTTTTTACCCACTCTCTTGAAGTTGCGTCGTCCCTTTCACGTACCTGGCAATAAATATCTGGTACCGTCAACGGGCGTGCGCCATTGTTACTTTACCTCGTCGAATGCGCCTTGCAAGGCAGCTGAGGCGGCACTTAACTCCGCGGTGAAACAAAAAAAAAAACTCGAAAAGGCGGCAAGTGGGGTGGGGGGAGGGAGGATGTAGCGGTAAGAAAATTTCTTCACTTAGGTTCTAATGCTGTTTGAGCCACCTTCGCCGCAGTACAGCGGTGCCATGCAGAAAGGCATATTGAGGTTTAGAAGGGGCTGTTAGTGTTAGTGGGACATTGCACATTTTGCTTCATAATTCTTAGTACCAGTATAATCACTGACATCTAAATAAGCTACAGGCAATCACTTGAACTAAACGGTGGGCCAGTTTTTTTTTTGTCGCCACCCCAACTCTTTGGTATTACGAATCTTCCAAATTTCGAGGTCGCATGCTTGGCAGATCAATATTTAAATTTGCGGAATCTGTCAAGTGATTTGACAGGTGCAGCAAATGCTAATGTGGAGTTTATCATTGTTTGCTCAAGTGGGTGGTTCAAAATACTACTTTCATTGAAATAGCAGCGCTCGTTTTTCACACTGTGCGATTTAGGTGACGTTGAATAATTTATGCATTTTTTTAAATGTAAGCCTCCTTTTTTATACTGCTCCAAATGTGGTCTTTCATGATAAAAATGCACGTTTTTTTTTCCCCACAACCTGCTCCAAAAGTAACATTTTGCTGCTCCAAAAATTGCTCCAAATTGTGTTTCGGCTGTTGCACCCTGGTTCTCTCTTTGTCCTTGCCCTTTCAGCTGCAACTACACAGTACTAACACTGTGACATGCACTGTAAAATAATTGTACTACTGTGATGATATTTCTGAGTGAGTCATAGAAGCCAGTCAATTTTTCACACGGCTCTATAGTTCCTTATTCGCATTTGATTTACCTATTCTGTATACTAGTATTATGCAAGACAACATAAAGGTTGTAGGGGTGGTTGCACTTTTTCATAGTGCAGGTTATGAAGCCAAGATGCTACCAGACTTCTTAGTGCTCCATTTGGTGACTCATTGCGGTGGGGTATATTTATAGAATTTCTTAATTATACCCGCATGAATCTTTGAAAATTAATGAGTGTGTCTGCAATGGCTGTTATGTCACAAACATCCTTCTTGATCGTTGGAAAGACATTGTGCTTGCTGATTGCACCATTCACATGTTTGAAGTGTGTGGCAAACTTTGGATATTGTGAAGTTTTCTTTTGATTTTATACCTTTGTGTACTGCTCTGAAGTGCCATATTGATTTAGTGAACCTGACGTTTAACCAAACTTGCACTTTTGGCAGCTGTATATGCTAAAGATTGTGCTTTGGCAGACTGGGTTCACTATGACTTCTTTTTAAAAAATTTACAGTCAGCTATCCGGTTGTTACAGTACAATTGTTGGAACAGGGAGTTGAAAGTCTTCATTTTGTTTATAGCAAGCCTCACCATTCATCTGACTCCCTCTAACACCTCATTTCTGTTATGTATAAAAGTGCTTCAGCTTTAAATTAGCACAGAAAAGCCTAGTACACTGGCTTTGCAGTGAGCATGAATAATTTATTTATCACTAGTGCCTTCCTGTTTTTCATTTTGTTTTTCGAGAAGGTAATTTGAAATAGAATCTCTGTAGTATTTATTTATTTTATAGAGGAACCTGAGTGCTTTTATGGGATAACTTGTGTTTTCAAACAAATGGCACGCTCGTATATAATTGGCAGTCATAACCATTTGTGGGTATCATATTTGTTTGTGTACTTGGTGCAGGTGTTACTTCAGCATAATGCACCTATACTGAACACTTTCAGAATGGCTTAGAGTACTGGTTGTTTCCACACTTATGGATTCCAGGTCGCTTTTAAAAATTTTTACGTCTTCATGTATGCAGGAGCTGCCGGAAACAAATTTCTGTGTCAGTTCCTTGAAAATGTATGGTATGGAAATGCACTACACTGCTGTCTATGAATAGACTAGTTGCCTCCATTTCAAACTTTATGTCCAAGTCACAAAGACACTTTTCAAAAATTTTCAAGGACATTATAGTTTTTTTTATAGGCCAATGTGTATTATGCCGATTGTGAAAGTTGATTCTAGAGAAGCGTGGCTATCAGCAGCTGAGGCTCATATTCGCCCTGCCAAAGCCCTCCACTTACTTTCATCACACCTAGACGCCATTGTACCAGAATACCCATGTTTGCCCCCACTTAACATAGGGATGGAATCGACAAAGTGGTGCAGTGTTAGCCCGTGGCATTTCCTTGCTTAGCTACTTTTGAGAAAGCGAGAACAAGTCTTCCCTCTTTCAAGGGAAGTTCTTATAGTTTGCATTAGTCAGAAGATGGCTACAGGATTTGCTGCTGGTGTTTTGTCGTGAGTCCATTACTTGCCTATTTCCTGATAGTTATAGAGAGTAATGTGGAGATTCTATGCTCATGTGTGTTGTACCTCGAGAGATTCACTCGAGGAGACATGGTACTGCTTTTGCACTTGCTTGTAATCTTGTGAAGTACAATTTTGTTACTAATATATACTAAAGCAGCATATCTACAGCATGCACGCTGTGTGCCAAGTTTATGAAGTGCTCATCCTCCCTTGCTGAAGATCTTTGTTACTTGTGCTTCATCATTGTAGTACTTCACTTTCTAGTGCACATATATTATAGTCATTTATGCATGCTGCATTGCTTGTAAGGGTATTTGATTGCTTTGTGCAGATCAGAGCGTTGTTAGGATGTTATTGTGGAGAGTGGCTGGGTTGGATTCTTCTACAACTGTGTGCTTGTATGTGTGTGTTTGTATATACGGTTGTATGTGTACAACAGATACAAACTGACATTTTGGGAGGAGGAAGGGGGAGTTTGACCCCACCCCCCAATTAATTGGCTATACCTGTGGTGCAGATCATCACATTACTGAATTAAAAATTTTGTTTGGCTACACATAAGCACCAAGTCTAAAAAGCACCTTTTCTGACTCATTGTTTTCTATCTACTGCAGGCGGGTTGTGTTGCGACTACTTTCACAATGTAAATATGGATGATGGTGTAGCAAGCTTTCATACTGGATGTTTTTGCACTTTCATATGTGAGAAATTGTCGCAGCCATAGTTTTGAATACGATTATCCCATGCCATTCATTGCTTTGTGTGGTATGGCTATCATCAATTGATGTTTTAATAAAAGTGTGCTTGACGTGCTGCTGTGGCATAAATGTACAGATTTTGTAACTGCAGCTCTCACAGTTGTGGAAATCATTGAGGTCATCAAAGATTGAAATGTGCTTGTTAATGTTAGCCACCAGATTTTGCAACCCCATCCCACTAAATTTTAAAGAAAATTCGAATGCGACATAAGCTCTGTTTGTGAGGATTTCTCTTTTTATCTGTGAAGATTGTTGACCATCACATTTTTGTATATTTTCTGAGCAGAGAAAATGTGTTGGGATGCCTAGCACAATATCGGACTCAGAAAGAGTGTTATTTAAGGTGTGAAATAAAATTGAGCCAAGTTGAACACCTAATATTCTGTGTTGGTGCTATCATTTTGTGTTGTCCAAGCTTCAGCAGTGTCTGTGTGGGCATGTAACGCCCCGTCGGTGAACATCTTTTTTTTTTCGAGGCACCTCTCTTACAACGTAGAAACACCAGCCACGGTAAAAAAAAAAAAAAAAACGATCGGAACAGTTGGGGAGAAAAGTAAAAAAGCTTGAACCTACGAATTCAGTTTGCATCACCAGCTTCCAACAAGTACAAGTCGTAAAACATGGCAGCTCCACGGCCGCCATTGCCGTTGTGGGCAGCCGCAGTCAGCTAACTGACGCTGGCATCTTGCAGAATCTAGGGCGCCTTGCTGCCCGTGCAAGGAAATATATTTGCAGTGGGCGCACACGTCTCCCAAGGTGTAACGGCGATGTTGCAATGGAGGCGCACTGGTGCTGGCTTTTAGTTCTAACAAATGCTATATAGATGCAAAGGAAAAGAAATGAAAAGAAATGGCCGCCCGATGCGCGCGTGCGTCCCGTGACGACATTTTAGCATCAGCGCAACCATTGGCTTAAACAGGGCACGTGATACCTAACTCTCTGCCCTCTGGAGGAGAATTCCTCGGAGTCGGCATCCATTTTGATTTTCATGTCTGTTATCCAGCATGGAAAAGAAATGTTGTATCGAAAATTGCCGCACCAACTCGGAAAAAAATGTGAAGAAAGCTGTATTCTACAACTTCCCAAAAATTGAGGGCCAGAGGAAAGCTTGGGAAAAAGCCATCAACGTGAAAGGTTTCAAATCGGATAACGCCACGGTGCTGTGCTCCCGCCACTTCCTCAAAATCCACTTTCGTGCTTTTCGCGGTCGTTCAGTGTTGAAAAAAAGTGCAGTGCCATCGTTGGAATTAAATCCAAAGCCTAGGAAGGCTGCGCCGACACAACCAAAGGAACAATTAGGTAAGCGAGTTTCACGTTTTGTTGTACGTGTTTAAGAAGATGCGCAAGTACGCGGCACTTACAGAATTTCTCCCATTTCTTCGGCAAAGCAGCTGAAACCAAATCGGGAGTCGCGAAGCCTCCGGGACGCAAAATCAAACAGAAACAAACGGTAAAGACTTCGGAAAAGAAACCCAAACAGAGTCAATTGAAAAAGAAACCCAAGCAGAGCCAACCGAGTAAGTGCCTTCTGCTTTTGCGCACGTAACGTATGCAATCGTATTAGCGTTCGTTTGAAGTACGTGTCGTGAACCGCACAATCTTGTACATTATTTTGAATTAACGTTATGCCCATTCTCACGCAGGAGTCCTATGTATAGCGAAAGAGATGAAGGAAACAGAGAAAAAGAGTAAGTTCCTTCAGTCATCTATGCGCGCTGTTAAGACGGCATTGTGCTAGCAACGTTTTGTGTGCTGATACTAAGCTGGTACGATTCGACATATAAGCGATCACAAATGCGTGACTATATTCAATCGGGGTTCTTCTCTTTCTCTCTCAACAGCCCGTTGTCTGTTGCGAATGCTCCGTTTAACGCACTTAGCGCACGCTTCGTGCTGAAAACTTGGATCGTGTGTGCAGTCGCCAGGTATCCGGATGTGTCATTGTTACGAAGAAAACATAACAGTGATTCAGCGTTTGGCAACTTTTTTTCATGTGCATTGCAAGGTTGTGTAACGGGGTTCTTTCGTAAAACGCTTTTACGGGCAAAAAAGCGTCGGCAGGAAAGGCATTTTATGCTAAGTTGAGTGTGGCGACGTGAACAAAGATGCGGTATTGAAAATATGTTTGACTGGAATTGAGCGGGAGATAATAATCAAGAGCTGCAGATACCCCACGCTGCTTTCAATGAACCCGAACGGTAGCCGACGGCAGGTGCGCTGTTGAAAGTTAATCATTGCCTTGCCTGTGGCCATCGTTAACTGTCTCTAACAGCTCTTTAAATACTATAATTAAAGGCTTTCGTTCGCGAAAAATTCGTGAATAGTTTGCTTAGAACATCAGAAGTAACTGAAAACATATTCTTTAAAAAAAAAAGAAAAACTAGCTCTCTATTTTGCTTTAGAACAACTACACATTCATACCTCCTCCTGCAATTAGCTTGCAATATTCTCTGGTTATTGTTTCATAGTTGCGACTATTTGTGTCATTATTGGTGGTTCAGCTGTTAAATCTCATTGCTTAGCTTTCGGGGAGCACTTTCTTATTTTGTGACATATACTTGTTTTTCTTTTGCAGACTTGGCAAAATGTTTAGTTTGCCAGGAACCAGTTGCTTTTATGTACGAGTTCCTCACCAACGCTCATGCCCACAGAGCGTATTCCTGGAAGACGTTCATCTGCGGCCACTGCCTTAGTGAGTTTGACAGTTTCAGTGACCTGATGTCCCACATTACTAGCATCGGCTCGGCTAAGAAGTACACACCCGACCAAAGTCAACTAGCCCCCGTTCCTATAGTAGCCCCGTGTCGAGAGTACCCTTGCTCTCTATGTAGTGCTGTCTTTAAAACTGCCACTGCAAAACTTTATCACGAAGTCACTCACACTGCAGCGAACAAGGAAGATATGTGCAAGCAGTTGAAACTCAATGTAAAGTACTTAAATGCGGAGAGTCCTCCAGTAAAGCCTCAAACATCTGGCAGACGGCGTAAAATTCTTGCTGCCGATCCATCTGAAATATGTCTCGGTGAACTGCAAGAGAAAAAGAAACCCCAGTCTTCATTGCGTGAAGAAGAAAAGCATAAAAAGGATGGAAGTGGTCCTAAGCAACCACAAAAGAAGTTGTGCAAAGCAAATACCCCGACTGGTAGAAAGCAGCTCAATACTCTCAGTTCATTATCACCACAGAAGAAGCAGGAGCTTGTGTCGATAGTTTATTGCAATCGGTGTGAACAGAAATTCATGAGCCTAAAGCTTTTGGACAAGCACTACTGGTCTCAACATCCAAACATGGACATACCTTTGGACCTTACCTTTGAGGTGGGCAGTGGGGATGTGACACCCAGATTAACACCGTGTTCTGTGTGTGCTAAGCGAACTGCATGTGTGAAAGCCATACAACAGTTGCTTGATGAAGCAGTAAGTGACCTCGAAACAGTACACTGAGACTGCCACTGTGCTCTTGTTTTGAAAGTGCTGAAGAGACATTTAGAACTGGTAGAAAGAGGAGCTACTGTATCATATTTCAAACATGTCATTTGTCGTATGTCTCAGCTTAGCTGCGTTTTGTTTTGCAATTTCATCGGGGCCAGCTTGAATGCAGTGAACCCATGTCACAGCAGTGAGCTGCATGTCTGGGCACCACCCTGCCTGTTTATGTTCTATGGTAATGGTAATTGGAATGTTGAAGTGGTGTTGTTCAAGGGGGGCTGTAAGTTCTTAGCATAATCAGTTGAGGAGTGTCTTCATAATGTGACAGAAGCTCTACTAAATACCTCATATGTGGTATTGAGAATGTTGCAAAGTTTGAATGTGCATGGCCTGCAATGCACCATTCGTATAAGTTTATGTTCATGAGTAACTTGGATGCTTTGGTCTGGACAACTTTAGCTGTGCTTTGTTATGTTAACACTCGGGCATTATTAAGCTTGTTCCATGCTTAAAAAAAAATTGAAGGGTTTTTCAATGGGTCTTTAGAACCCCGTCTTAGTGTATAACATAGCGTTAATTCTCGTGCAAACATCCCTGTTTACGTTTGTTGTTTCTTGTATTGAAAGGTTAAATGTGCACACATTGCAGTGCACGATTTTTCAACTACATCATCAGCTGGATACTTGAGAAAGCTTACAAGGAACTTGAGTTTTGTGTGTTAATTGCTTTGCCAGAACATTCATTGGAACAGTGACTTTCATCCTAATAATTGTTCATGTAGGAGCTTTTGGTGAAATAGGCAAAAGGTAAAACAGAAGAAAGGAAAAATGGGCAGTTATTGTAAATGTCTGCTTGCTACCTGCTACTCAGAAAATGGTAAAAGAATTGAAAGAAGGAAAAGATAGTTTTGGTGGCCAAAAAACGAATGCAATCTTTTGCAGTTTTTAAATAGGTGGATGCATTGTATGCCTTTAATAATTAAAAACCATGTACAGGGACATTTGGGTCAGTGTAAAAAGCCTGTTCCAGTCGTGGTAGACAAAGAGCAGTCTTAGTGCAAGCATTAACGATGGAAGTCAACCGGGCTTGTCATAAAAAATTAGTGGGCTAGTTGAAAGCCTTTTTTATTTATTAGTGAATGCAAGTTCTATAACACCAAGGTGTGTTTGCATGTGGTGGTGCACTGTTCCGGCGATGATCTTAGAGGGAGATCCTGTCTCAGCAGCAATACCTCATCATATGAAGCAGTATTTAAAGGTCTAAAGCAGGGGTGGCATTGTTTAAACGAGAATGGTCAAGTGACAAAAAAAGGAAACACTTTGTAGTTGTGAGGGAGCAAATATGACCATATTAAAACTCAAATAAAACATCCAATGCACTGTTGAGGCATGGCTGAGATCTATTTTGTGTGGCAAAGTGTGAACAAGATATACATGCAAACAATGGCTAAAACGTTTGTATCACCAAGTGCATCGGTTCAGGCGTGAGAGTTTTGTTGGAAAACTGATTGGCACGTTCTAGTTTCATGTAATTTTTATTTTATTGTCAAGGAAAGTAAAAAAATCAGTAAGTCTTGAAAAAAAAATACACTTTGACTCATCAATGACATAAAAGAGACAGACTTTTATGAATGCAAATCTTTTCCAAAATATAGGTGTTTGCCAGTCATTTGATAAATGACGATTATACATTCCATATCTGTAGCTCCAAGTGTTCTCTGGTTAATGCAGTGCACATTGTAGAGACTTTCTTTCTGTAGAGTCCAGAATAAAATTTATTCGTTATTACTAAAATCTTTTTTGCAAAATTTTTTTGTAAGGGTGCAAGTTTAAATGAGGTGTGTAAATCAGCTTTTAATAAGCGAAATTGTGTACAGAATTCACTAAGAGATTAGCAAAGTGAAACTGTATTTTGGGAAAGTAAAATATGTGATTGTTAGGTTATCCATGCTTTTGATGTCTAGAGAACTTGTCCCTAGCTGGATGTGTGATCTTTGGGGCACGACCGAATGTCTCAGTGAAGCTTGTAGACATATTTGAATGTGTCAATAATCTATGTACATGAAGAAGCTTTGTGCGTTCTCATTTGACTGAAAGGTGCTTTGTGAACTTTTATTCCCCAGTTCCCTAGCCACTCATTGAAGTGTTGAAATGTTTTATGCTCAAGGTCACATACAGGTTGATTTTACATCTCATTCTGATCGTGTGCCCACAATTTGAGAATAATGGCACCACTACTTTGTTACATTCATGTCATTGCCAAGCTGTAATTTTCCAATAAAATTGAAGTAGATATCTGCCCACTGTGTTGCATGGATAAATTTAGTTGTAGAAACCCCAATCCAGCACTAGGAACTGTCAGCTGCAAAATAGAGGCATACTATTATTCTGATCTATTTTTTCCCCTTGTGTTTTGTGCATGGCTTCTACAGCAAAGCAAGGCCACCTGGGAAATGTCTGATTCTGGAATTTGTGCTCAAGCCAGCATACAGTAAACCTCTGCATTTTTGTCAAGCGAGTTTTGTGAGCACATGTGTTTGTAGCTTCATGCCAACACAAAGCGGACTTTGTTTGGGGTTACTATATTTGAAGTGCGAGAGAAGGACCAGCACTGATCAGGACCAACTTAGCATCTGCCATGCCCGTCTTTTTTACCCTAACTCGTTCTGTGCACTTCAAGCGTAGTAACTGCAGAATACCAACTAGCCTCCTCCACAGCTTTAGTTACTTTACACGTTTAAGTGTAATCAAACGTTTCTGATACTTGCTATTATTTTTATTACCTATATAGGACAGTCGCTGGCAGCATTGAATATATGCAATGAGTAATAATTAACTAAGAACTCTAGTCACATGGGCAAATTTAGTAACACCAAGCGGGTGCACTTCACCACCCCAGGTATTACTGTGGTGGTGCGCTACTTCATGGGGAAAGATACCATTGTCAATGAGAAAGTCAATCTGCACCTCATACACTTGTTATTTTATGCGCTACTCTCAAAGTAACATAGTCTAGCTGGCACTGCACTCGTTGTGTGAGTGGTGTATTGGCTATTTAGAATTGAAGTGCCAAGGGTACAGTTTTTCATTGTAAGTGGCATGGAGATATTTATAACAGCTTAATTTGATTAGCAAGATGTGGCTTTCATGATTAATGCCAACTCTGCATTGAGTGGCATTATATTTTTGAAGTATTGTAGTCAAGGCTAGTTTCATTGAACCTTTACACATGACAGCCTGCCATTATCAATGCAGTGTGCCCTCGATTGCAGGTGACACTAAATTTGCTTGTCTGACATATATGTAGTAAATAACCAAAGGATTTTCGAAAATAAGAAAAATGTAGGTTGCAATCTGCTGTGCATAATGTGTATGCAGATAAATGTGGACCATCAAGTCGGTGGGTATGTCATGGGCAAGTGTAGATGCTTTTAAAAGCTAAATGTCTATGTTGAACATAGAATTGTAGACAGTAAACTTAATTGAATATGACTTCTTTTTTCCTTTTTAAATTTCAAGGTGGGGAAGTTATGACACAGAAGATTAACGCAAAGAACACCTTTTTCACCTTATATTCTAAGTTGCTTTCATTGTTGACGTGTAGTTGATTGAAAAAAGGCTGTTGTTACAGAATGATAGCAGCAAGAAAAGTGATAGTGACGCACAACTTAGCTGTATTATTAAGCAAGTGCTGCATGTGTGAATTGAACTAACTGTGCCTAGAGGGGAGCACAAAAAGTAAATTAGTGATTGTAGTGATCACAAAAAGTAAATTGGTGATCGTAGTGATCACAACTTGAAAGTTTATTTACATATGATTCTTTCAAACAATATACTGCATTTCAAGAACAAAATGCAGCCAGTAACGAGCTGTGTAGAATTCATGGCCTCACTAGGATTTGCAGTCTCCATTTGGAAGATTTGGGGTCACTGGGGATATTGATTGATTCATATGTGGGGTTTAACGTCCCAAAACCACTATATGATTATGAGAGACGCCGTAGTGGAGGGCTCCGGAAATTTAGACCACCTGGGGTTCTTTAACGTGCACCCAAATCTGAGCACACGGGCCTACAACATTTCCGCCTCCATCGGAAATGCAGCCGCCGCAGCCGGGATCCGAACCCGCGCCCTGCGGGTCAGCAGCCGAGTACCTTAGCCACTAGACCACCGCGGCGGGGCTTGGGGTCACTGGGGAGAGCGCCCATGGTGCGAAAGACGGGCTTTATAGTCTGTCTTTCGTAGTGTCTCCCTAATGTAAGTGCATCACTAATATGAATTAACTAGCCCCTTTCGTCGCATTAAAGGGGCCCTGCAACACTTTTTGAGCATGGTGAGAAAACGCTGCCAATCGGTAGTAGTGGCTCCCGACAACACGCAAGCCAAATATTATAGTGCAGCACAAGCCTAGAATTCACAATAAATTATCAAAGTCAACTAAAAACTGCTTTCTCTTCTCTTGACAAATCACGCAATTTACCCAAAAATCACACGTAGCTAGCCCATCTATGAGCCATTGGCTGATTTGAACATGGCGCGCTCACTCGTTAGCAGAGATCGCCGCGAGAGGCTGCCACTTGTCCACGCTCAAGGTCACGATGCTCGCGTGATGACGTTTCTCTGTGGCCCTGCCATCCTCCCCTGCTTAGCTTCCAGCGCTTTCGTCGGGACGCGAGAGAGAATGCGATTGCAGCGTGTGACAAATCTTTTTAACTCTGCTCGTACTGGACGGATTCTTAAAATTTTTGCGGCGTTGAATTCGTAAAGCAATAAGCTCTTCCAGTTAATTTATTCCATGGTTACTTGAAAAAGTGTTTCAGGGCCCCTTTAAAGCACGTTCACACCGAGCGTGGATCCGGAAAGCAGATGCGAATTATCTGCAAAAGCAGAAAATTCGCGGCCGCTTCTCTGTATTGTGCCAGGGCCAATTTTCTCCACGCAAAGGAAGTTGGCCGTTTTGGCCGCAGCCAATCAGCTCCTGAGAGGCGCGTGCGCAGTATCGCGTAGTGTCGCAAGATGGCGACTCGAGCCCACCAGGTATTGCCTCGTGCCGGCAGCAGAGCAAGGAGTCTGAACAGCCATGCGCGCGCGCTGCCTCACCGCTTTGAAAATCCAGTCGTGTGCTCTGTGGGGACACGTCTTTACCCCTGGTACTTCCATAAGATGGCTTCAGACCAACCTCAGCTTTCTTGTCATAACTGGTGATTCCTCTCATCTTACACATACGTCTTGTAGAACAACCAGCTTCAGGTCATAGGCTTCACGTGGAAATGTTGAGAACCAGAACGAGCTCTAGAGAGAGGCTACTGTCTCTTGAGAAATATTGTGGTATATAGCAGTTACATGCAGAAGTGTACAGACTTACGTCTGTCCTGCTGTGAGATGTCCGCTGTTTACACTCAGAGGAACCCATTTAGTCACAAACAAAAATGAAGGAAGGAAATAAGTAAGTGCCTGGAAACTGCGGCACACACCCAAGCTGGGGGATTGGCCAAGAACCGGGTAGTTCTCACTAAATATTGTTAATTTGTTAGCTCACAGTTTTTAAACTGTAAAAAAAGGCAAAAATCAATTAGAAATAACGAATACAGAAAATGAAGCAGATGGTTTCATCAACAAAAATAAGTAAATGAATGAATAAAGCAATTTGAAAACAAAGAAAAGGGTAATTTAGGAGTAACAATAGGTTTCACAGTCTGAATCGGTTTGAAGCTTTTATAAACTCCTGCAAAGCATCGGCAAGTTTTCCGTCATTGAACCCCAGGGACAAAGCCCCCAAAGAAAGTACAAAGAAAGAAAGAATTATCAACATGAACTGGCACATGCTGTTCTCGTCCTCTTCTGCTTTGCTCCCAGAGTGCGGGATGCAATTATTCTGATGTGCTGAAGAAATTGTTCAGCTAGAGAAATGGTAGACAGAAAAAAAAATTGATGCAAAAAAGAAAATCAGAAAGCAAGATAGAAAAACAAATTAAAAAAAAGAAGACTAGAAGGACTGACAAAGAGAAAAATAAACAGAGATAATGATAAAAATGAAAACAGACAGAGAAAAAAATAAAAAGTTAGCCAGACTACCTAGCTTCATATTTTTGGCACTCTTGTTGTGAAGTTGCCCTAATTTTTTTTTCACAGCATTTTAAAGAAAACAAAATAAAACAAGAAAATGCATGGTTGGATTCATTGTTATAAGTAGTTAAACTGTAGAAATGATAAGAAACAGGAGTAATGCAAGTGAGCGAAGGGACAATGTGCCACAGGCAGGATCAAAACTCTTCTGTATCATGTGTGCAAAGCGTTACTATTAGGCTACTACAGTGGCAGCCATCCTCCTCATCGCCACCTTTGGGAATTTGTGTGCGTGTGCAAAATTACCCTAGGAAGTGTTAGCCAGAGCCATTTGAGCACATATCGACAGGTGTTTTCATAGGCATTGGCAGAGGAGTGTAAATGGGGGCACTTGCCCCCTTAAAGCCATGCCAGAACTGGCCCTGATGCTTCATCAGGGTTCCTCTCTTTCTCCCACACTGTGATTCATGAATAGTTTGCCCCCCCCCCCCCCCCCACCATAAACAAATGATGCCGACACCCATAGTTGTTCCTGGTGTGGCCACATGTACATAGGTATGCATGCTACCTGACTGCACCAAATTCCTCGGTATACAACACGCTAGAGCAAAGGCTCAATTTGACTTCCTAGCCTTGGGGGACTCCGTTGGTCTTTCCAGAGTGCTGCACAACCCCTAGCTTTTTCTTGAACTTAAAAACAAACAAAAGCAGAAGAGGGGTGGGAGATAGGTAATAACACCTCTCATGCAATGGTTTTAATAAGTGCAGAATACAATGCAAATTCGTTTGTCTTCTTAAGTTATTCGCTTATAGGGATAAAATGGGAGCGAGTTGCACTCGTTCTGATCACTCGCAGAACCTTGGAACGTTTTTGACAAACCCAGTTTGAGAATCCATGTGCTAGAAGTAATAGAGCAACCAAAGAGTTCAGGCTCCTATTTTTCTTTTCTTTTTTTAAATGTTTTTAAATGAGTGGACATGAAGGAGTCGCCAGGAACAAAAAAAGTGCGCACTGCAATTGGTCACTGGAGTACTCTGGACCATGTGCCCACATCAAGGAGTCTCCGAGGTAACAGAGATTTCATAGTTGTGTACCAATATTTCATCTTATGAACTTGTTTCATTGGCCATGTTGTGACCTCAGTATTGAATCATTAACCATTGAAACAGTAGTAGTGGAGCATCTATGACCCTGAGTAGATCTATGACTCTGAGAAAAAGTATGAATATTTGCAGCATGGAACCAAGTACTTCTATGCAACATGCTTATCATGTTAAATTTCTGTTCATGTAGTATATTGCAGTCAAAACACTTTCGTTTTTGAATGCATAGTCTTTAGTTTTCCAAGCATTGTGTAAAAAGGATTATTTTTAGAACTGAGAAACATTTAGTTGAAGTTGCAGCTGTGATTGTGCCTTTTTTTTTTCTGTTTTCCCATTTTATGTTAGCCATAGGCTTATGCCATCAGAGCGAAGAAAAGAGACATTTGAACAATAATCGACGCCAGCAGCAAACACGAGCTGATCATGTGCCACCGCCAAGTGCAGTCTTTATTTTCTCCCTTTTGCGGTCATGCACTCTCTATATTGCGTGCCGTTCAAATAAAGTGTTACAGCACCCCTCGTAGGCTGAAAGTCAAAATCTGACATGTTTTAGGTAGTCCAACGGGAGGTCCAGCGTAGATGAGAGGCTTTCTATAGCAGTCTTCAGGTACGCCAGCTTAAGTCGGTCCAAGCTGACCGTCTATTCGTGGCTGTTTTGTAAAAGGGTGGCAGTTTTTCTGTGTGCGATCAAGGACGCAGAATGGTCCGCCGTAGGCTCGTGTTAAAGGCGGTCAAACTGCATCGTGGCACACAAAATTGTGCGTTGGAAGTGGCCGGTGTGGACAAATATTGCTTTGTTATCGGATTGTCGGGGTTGGATAGGGCGGAAGTCTTTAACGCAGTCCAGGAGGCGTAGGAATCGTTGTTGCTGGGCTGGTAGCTGCGTTGATATAAAGAAGTCGCCAGGGATGTTTGCACCTCATGGCTCAGTGTCTGAAGTGCCGGTGGTGCCAGCAAAGACGTGGAGGGCTGGGACTCCGAGATTCTTGCATGCGTGGAAGAGCTTGACGACTAGAACGAGGTTAATGAGTCTTCTGGAGGGGGCTCCAGAGTGCAGCAATTGAGGCGGTTAGTTCATCGATCCTGGCCTTAAGCTGCGAAATTGCCGTGTTCATTCTCGGATAAGGCGGTCACTTCATGACCCTGATCACCAAGCTCCACCAGTCACTCGAGGTTCACGTCGCCGGCCGCCGCGAGGACAAGGCAGATTGGCTTGGAAAGGCGTTGGAGGAAGAGCTCACGAAGCATCGCTGTGTGGGTTGGGACGTCATGCTCCTTGAGAAGCTGTCGCATTTGGCACAGCAGTCGGGACGGGCGCCTGTCGCCCAGGTCTACCTCTGCAAGGAGCTGTTGAAGGCGGACGCGTTCTGATGACATGAATCGCTCCAGTACCTTGGTCTTGAACTAGTCTTGAGGTGCTGATATGGTGTAATGTTCGAGGGGTTGGAGAGGCCATTGGAGAGTTCACTGGCAACATCAAGAGGAAGGGCTGAGGCGACTTAGTAGTAGTGCGTCCTTCCAGAGGCGATGCGGTTTAGGTAGGATTGTGCCTCGACCTGGTGAAACCAAACTTGCTGGTTTTGGGGCCAGAAAGATGGAAGACACTTGTACCGCCGACACGTTCTGCAGAAGTGAGACTTGTTCACTTGAGGTCGTGTTTAAATCGGTCATTGTCTTCGTCCTAGGTCACCACTTGTAGGCTTTTTTCACCGGAGCGAAGAAAAAAGAAGTCTTCCTTTTGCAGTTGTGTGCTCTCCGTTTTGCGCGCCATCCAAACGAGGATGCTACATTTTTATTAACTTTTTCGTTACCGTGCGAAAATGGTTGTTTTTCATGTCTGGGGAAGATAGGTGGTGAATCTACCGAACATGCTGAAATATGTGTACGATTTTTTGTATTTACCAAACCTCAGAAATTATGTGGATTAATAGCACTTCAACTATTATTCATACAGTGTTTCTGTAACCAAGGTTGCTTCTTTGCACTAAATCACCCTCACAGTTGCAAGTCGTATACCATTGCAGTATCTGAAATGCAATTGTCTGATATTTCAGACGATGATACAACTTGCATGCATGACCAGTCAGTTTGCCCAGCTCATAGTGGAAAGTCGTGCTTGGAATCTGGCCTTTTATTAAAGCTTGGTCCCATAAAAAAAATGTTAAGTCTCGTATAAAATATTTTTCACATTTCTCCTGCAGCAAGCTGCCAAAGACAATCTTGTGAGAAATAATGTTTCAAAGCATCTATCTTTGGTTGGTAGTTGGCTTGAGGGTGTGTACCAGCTCCGCAGCCAATTTTGCCTTGTGCTTCCATGTCACTTTCATCTCAGAAGAGCCCCACTTTTTTCTTGAGGTCAAGTTTTTTCCATCGGGGCAGGACATCAAACTGTTCATAGCTCATGGCAAAGATTTGTTGGAAGTCCTCATCATTCAGGTACAGCTGGAAAGGAAAGCAAAGTATGGAATGTTATCAGGTTCTTAGAGGGATATGGAAGATATTCAACGAAACTAAAAGACTGGGTGCTGAAATCAGTAGACACAACCTCTTAAGACTAAAACAAGCAGAAAATAATTAACTTCGTGTGTTTCACACAAAATGCCACATCTAGCGGCTGTGTCATAAACTACTAAAACTAAGTTGTAAGTCACCGTAAGCGGTAGTGCACACAATGCCAGCAGCCATCTGCATTTCTCATCCTACTCGGCTCCCATTACAGTTCCTTGAACTACTAAGAATGGCATTTGCTGCAAACAGTGCTTCCGAGTGGGGAAAAACCCCCAATAGACTTGTCATGTTTCAGTCGGAGAGTGTGATGTAAAGGAGAGGTGGAAAAGGGAAGTAGCAGGACAGGAAACTAGCACCCTGCACCCGGCCCTGTAAATGATGTCATGGCTTGCCTGGCATGTAGCTGACAAACACTGTCTATCCTTTATAAATACAGACAGGTGTTAAAAATTGTTTCCACACTAACTACAGTGAACAAACTGCCCATTTGAGCGCATTTTTCATATGGAATTCATTGCCATATTACTCAAAATCAGACACTAAGTTCACCTATCAGAGAATTTAAAAAGTGCAAAATGTGCAAAACTCTGTTTATTGGGAACAGTCACGTCTTCAGAGTTGATTTCGGTGCTGTCATCATTTCTTACTATTTTTTTATGTACTTTAACTAGAGTTGTTCGTATTGAATTTGGGTATTGAAGTTTAGGTACGAATTGAATAGAATATTTCTGGAACATTTTTCAATTCCTTCAAAGCGAAGTTTCAGATGATTCTTGAGCATATTCTCATGAGATAGCAATATGAAAGTGTTTCTTTTTGCTAGATTGATGAAATATTGCCACGGTAGGTGTTTCATAGTTGTCTTATCAAGAATTTGGCTATGCAGATGCTGAATCGTATTTATGTACGGTGCAATCGACGTGATTTAATAACCCTGTACATACGAGAGGCAAAAAGGAAAAGAGGCTGTTTTCTCCATGGTTTCCTCAGTCTCTCCTGCTCTTTCAACTTCTATGGAAACCCAGCTGATGTAGCAGACAAAGGTGTACACCCTTTGAGTCCGGAGTTCCAAAATTACATCACAGTATATCTGAAATTTTGCTAAAAGTCTTTGCCGTTCATGTTTTTGGACTTCCTGTCCAAATTTAAGGTCCAAAACAGCATTGAGCCCCCGTCTCTGCCACATTCGTCATCTCAATTTCGGAACCAGCGTTATTGTAGCGGAAATTGATAGACAGCTGTGCCACAATACGGGAGTGTAGTGAGGCGAGCCGCTTTTAATTGGACATTGAGACTGTATTCATCTTTGGGAAGTTTGAATAGTTTTAACAGTAAAATTTCTGTGTAAATCTAACTGGATAGCAAACACTGTTAGAAAAATATTCGAAGTTTCAAATATTCGTACACCCCTACTTTAAACAACTAACAATAAGCTTGACCAATGGGTTTGCCCAAATGGGTTTGCCCAAGTTCAGCATGAACAAGAGATGCCAAATGAGCACTGTTGTGTAACATTGTGCTCATTTGTTCTCCACGCTTGGAAATTTTCTAGTGCACTAGACTTTACATGCGAACTGCTCTCAGTTATGCAAGGGCCTTTCAAGTTCTCTAAACCTAGCTAATAAACTGTGACAAACTCAAATATGGCTGCCCTAAGACAACTGTCGTAAGTATCGTAGCAAAGCCGAAGAGTCGGGAGCTTCATGGTTGCCAGGTTTGGCTATTTTGCATCAGTTTGACTGTTTTTATGCTGGTGGCAGCAGGAAAAGTGTCTTGGCTAATTGGCTACCTTTTGGCTGGTTTCTTGTTGCCTCTATTTGAATGAAGTTATCAATATGTCGTGATGTCAGAGCCCCTGGCATTTGAGAATCTAGTGTAAAGCATGGTGACCAAGGCGAGCTTTCATCTAACAAAATTGAATACGGTGCTTACCTTATACAAAACTAAATACCTTTAGATACAAAGCTTGGATTCGGAGGAGAGCTGTTGCATCATATTGCAGAGCAGTGCAGTTGGAAGTGAAGAGGAAAATCGTATGCACTTTGCATCCAGGACACTGCTTTTACTGACATTAGAAATTGGATATACGACGAAATGTCACCATTATTTCTCAAATTTAGGCACGAGTTTTGCTTGCCTGTGAATAATAACTGATTGGACATCTTCATCACGTGGCAAGAGACTGCAAAAGGGACTGCAATCTTGGCTCCTATTCCTGAAACTCATTTTCAGCAGCGCATGTAATACCATTTTTTTTTTGTTGCCGCAACGCTGGTGTTTTTAGTCCTTTTCAAAAAGTCACGCATGGCACTGGGATCGTGTGTCATTTCCGTAACTGTGCTATAAACATCATCCTGCATGAAACATTGCTAAAGTTAACAACTTATACCTTAAACTTCGAAAGGTTCTTGTTGTACTTATCTAAATTTCTCTAGCCAAAGGCTCTTACATTTAGTCATTTTGCTGCCATGATGAGCATTGTTATCAGATTTTGCAACAAAATAACCAATGACATCTACACTAATTGACGAAAATTTGTCCCGAAAGGAACAACGAAAACCATACTCATTGTGCATATGTTTAGTGGGGTGCATATTAGCGCAAACTTGAAGAAAGATGGGTTCAAGAAAACAAGAGGGAGCATAAAGGTTGGGTGCACATCTGTTTTTTGACTCTGGATGGCCAGTTCTGTTCATGTTGGGCTCTTTGTTTTTCGGCCTTCATTTTATTGAAGATTTGATTGTATTGGCATGTCATGAAGCCACCTTCGAGTTGTCTTATTTTACGTGACAGAGGGCTCCGTTGAAACGAAAAAAACTGGCTGTACAAACTGAGATAAAAATTTTTTTTGGCAATTTTGGCATTTCAGTAATACATTCTGGCAGGCTAGTTAATTCATTGCTGTTAAATATTCTCAAACTGTGTGAAATGAGAAGACACGAGTAAGACAACACACAGAACAACACACTGCACTCAGTGCTCTTCTGTATTTTCTTACTCTCATCGTGGTCATTTCATGCAGTTTAACAACATTTAACACTTTTTTTTTTCTTCTTTTTTTTAAATGGCAGTGAAAGGGTTAAATAAAGTGTGCCAGCTGTTTTCAGACATGTGTGGCTATATTTGGCTACGTTTACTGCAATTTGCTCAAGGTGGCTACCTATTGGCTAGTTTTTCCAATTTAGTGGCTATGTTTTGTCCTTGCAGCCTCGGTGACCTTGCTGCCCTTACTTCAAATCCTCCTGGATGAGTATCCATTTTCCAATCAAGGGAATATAGAATTTGAATTCAGCTGTTGTTAGACAATACTGGGAAAACCTGTGCTCGCTGTGCGTTTGTTGCTCAAGCTAATTAGAAGCTCTTAGGGCACAGAAGTTTACCTCTTTGTTAGCAGGGTCAACACAAGATGGCAGCTGCTCGGGATTTTTTACATGCAGCTTGTCAAAAGGAAACTTCTCCACCTCTGACCTTGAGTTTCGGTACATTGCTGCTTGTTGCTGAAAGAGATTAATGAGGATTGCATTCAGTTAAGCGTTCAGATGTTATTGCAGTGGAACAGGAAGGAAAAGCCTATTCACCTGCATGGCCAGGGCTGTTTGGTTGCTTTCTTCAATTTCATTCTTGATGCTCTGGTATGTGGGGAGCGTCTGAAGAAAGAAAGCAAGACAATAGCTTTCGTTGGAGGTTCACCATCTGACAGCAGTCATGCATTTCTGAAGGCACCGACAACAATTTTATGCAATTACCTTCCAGAAGTTATCATCCCATGTGCTAAACAGTCCAATGAAATTCGGTGGCTCCACATTTTGCTTGACACATGCGATTGGAATGGTCACTGGACGGCCACTTGGATCAGTGCGCAGGTATTCCTAGGAGAAGTGAAATATTTTGCGGGTGATCTAGTTGACTGTTACCAATGGGACACTCAGTGCCACTTCCTTGGTAATAATGCCAAGATGGTCTGGGTAGGTTAAGTATTGGGCTGCATCACTACACTGAATTAAATATTGTCCTAGGTATGCCCTAGGTATGTATGATAAATACATCATCATCATCAGCCTGACTACGTACACTGCAGGGCAAAGGCCTCTCCCACGATCCGCCGTATCGACCCGGTATTGTGCTTTCTGTTGCCACATTATACATGCTAACTTTTTAATGTCATTGGCCCACCGAACTTTCTGTCTCCCCATTGTGCATTTGCCCTTTCTGGGAATCCAGTTAGTTACTGTTAATGACCTGCGGTTATCCTGCCTATGTGCTTCGTGCCCGGCCCATGTCCATATCTTCTTGATTTCAGCTGCAATATCCTTAACTCAAGATTGTTCCCCGACCCATTTTGCTCTCTTCTTGCCTCCTGTGGTTACACCTATCATTTTCCTTTCCATCGCTCGCTGCGTCGTCCTTAATTTAACCTGAACCCTCTTTGCAAGCCTTTAGGTTTCTGCTTCGTAGGTAAGTACATATTAACAAAATGCAGCTGTTATATACCTCCCCTTTTAGGACTAGCAATAGATTAACACTTATTATTTGAGAATTCTTGCTGAATGTCATCGATTCCCATCCTTATTCTTCTACAGTTACTTCACTCTCATGGTTCGGCTCCATGGTTACTACTAGTCCTAAGTAGACATATTTCTTACAATTTCCAGTGTCTCTCCACCTATTGCAAAGTGCTGTTTTCTGCCGAGACTGTTGCTCATTACTTTAGTTCTATGCATATTAATTTTCACACATACTCTTCTGGGTTCCGTGTCCAGTTCAGTAATCAGGAGCAGTGATTCACCCCCTGAGTTACTAATCAAGGCAATGTCATTCGCAAATTGCAGGTTGCTAAGATACTTTCCATTAACTCTTATTTCTAACTCTTCCCAATCTAGGGCCCTGAAAATTTCCTGTAAACACGCGGTGAATGGCATTGGGGAGATCGTGTCTTCCTGCCTTACACCCTTATTTGTTGGGATTCTGTCGCTCTCTTTATAGAGAACTGTCTTTAAGAACTGAGTACTTTAAGAAAATAAATAAAATACCTGGATGAGACTTTATACATCCTTTGTATCACTAATATTCTAAGGTGGAGTAGAGCAGTCCGATAATTCAGTTGATGCACCTTCAAAACTGGTTTCGTGCAGTCTTCATTTCACTTTAGACTGTACTTGGCCATATAACATCCACAATGGAAGGGTGCTTTGTTTCACCCTTATTTACTTGACTGGCAGCAAGCATGAAACTATCAATATATAGAAAGGTATAATTCCTGTGTATGCAATTCAACAAAAGAGCGAACCTTAATTATTTTGGGGTAAAACCTAATAATTCTTCGACATCCTTTCTACACACTCATAGAACTTACATCTTTTCATTAAGGGCAGTGAGAAATGCGGATGCTCAAAAGCCTCTGATTATATGGGCCACAATTCAAGGCTTCAAACTAATGAGGGAACCTTTAAATTTGCCGCTGTGAGAATGTCCTGGCAACAATAAATAAATAATAATACAAAAGACAATGACCTTCAGCAGCCAGCATTCGCTATAGTTCTCTTGCCCATTACATGCATACATAGTTACATAGTTGCACAAAAAATACTCAGCTGGCAGCCTTGCACTATCATTTCATAGCATGCAGTAGCGACGCCAAGGAGCATTTCGAAACTATCACAGGGTCCGGGATACGCAACGACTAAGATAGAGACGGTACGGATCAGATACTAAGCGACAACTGACAGTTTCATTAAAACACGGAGCAATCACGTGTACTTCTGTTTACTAGCGTGCAGCACGGCGTCTATGCTGCCCGCACCATTGCTGCCTGGCGGCTCGCTGTATCGTCTGCGTGGATATGCTGTGCGCGTTGCTCATCCCCACTTCGCTCCAGACAGATGAGCAGAGTAGTGTGTGTAGTTAGTGTGGGGAGCAAAGTGCGCCGTGATTATTTGCGGTTATGAAAACAAGAGATAAATCCCTTGCTTTCTCCGAGAATTCTCTGTCAGCTGTGATGTTTAATGATGGATACACACACGAACGCTCACTCACATCTGTGGGTGGTAAGCCTCTGAGCTCATTAGTGCTGAATGTTATGTGAAAACCATCGGATTTTTTTTACCAGAAATAATTTTGATTGACGATGATGTTTGACCCCAGAAAGTTGCTCCTAAACTTAGCTCCAGAACACACCTTTTGATGCTCCTAACCTGCTCCAAAACTCTCCTTTTACTGTGCCAAAGCTGCTCCAAAACAGCATTACTCCTGCTCCCTGAGCCGCTCCAAAACATTAAAGTCCACTTCCACCCCCATTGGTGCCACGTATAATCATACCTCTCCACTGTGGTATACCAGCTTGCGGTGTTCCTTCTTGGCTTCGTAGCCTATCCAGACGAAGAGTGTGTGCCAAGCGTCCACCAGCATCACTTCATCCTCGAGCAGGTCACTCTGGTCGAAGCCCACAACCTCGCGGGGAGCATAGTTGCCCTTAATGTCCCACAAACTAAATAGGCGAGCAGCCCTGATTCCAGACTCCTCCTGCATGTGGCCATTCAAAGATGCATATAATACAAGGCATGTACATACTTGACATTACTATGTAGTGCGTGGACAGAGATGCGCTAGGACGTAATAAATCATGCGTGTACAGTATACCACTTATTGCACATGCAGCATCCTGTGTGTATGCTGTTATTTTGCATACTACTCATTATCAGCACAAGCTGAACGTACATGCTTGAACAGTTGAAGCTTAAACAGTGTGACCAGGAGTGAGGAATAACGACAACAAACGTTCGTGATATCTGTGTCGAAGCTGCTACAGAATGCTGATAAAAGCTTATAGAGAGCAGTTCATGCAATCAACTTAACTGTGGTAGGTCTTCTAGGCCCTTAATGCATAATGCATGCTGAGCAGTTTTTCTTTTGAATATTGCTCTACGAAAATGCGAGTTGTACATCTTAAAAGCCAACTGCAACAAAATTTTACTTGGGCGGAAAAAGCCCTAAATACATAGTATATATATGGTAAGTTAGGATAACGACAGTGAAAAATCTTGCAGTTGCGTATTTATTTTATAATTGGTGCCACTCGTTCAAAACCGGATATGACGAATACTACAGAGCGTCGCTGCATCGCTCCTTGTGAGCAATCTTCCCTGCAGCTGAATTTCTCTTTCCTGCGTGACGCCCTTTGCGAGCGGTTGACTCGGAAAGTTTTGCAGTACGATGCCAACGCAATGAGTCGCCGTAGGCTGCGCTAGTCAAGGAATTTTAAAAAATAGCGGCCAAGCCCCATTCACTTATCATGTCACAGTGCACGTAACTGAATGTTGTTAACCAACAGGAGTTTAACCCACTCTGTGCCTACTTTACGTCCCTATTTCATGGAACAGGTGATCGAGCTTGTCGTTGGCGTAACCGAGCTTGTCGCGGTCTTGCAGAGCAAGACGAGCACACAAACGCCGCTGGCATCAGCGTTTTCTTTTTTTTTTTTTTTTTTTTGCTCTTCATGCAGTACAGCAATTTGCCAGCAAAATAAGCAGTACTGCTTCTTCTTGCTTCCTACGTAGGAGAATCATCGAAGTCTAGACCACTGGATAGCGTTTTGGCGTTTGCGAGAGCAGTCTACAACCGGTTCATCCCGCATTCGCACCGTGATAAATGGCATATTAGGCGGTGCGGGGTGTGTCCAGTGCGAACGATGCTGCGTTTTGGTGGCAGGAAAATTTTGTTTGTTGCAGAAAGCGGCGGCGCTTCAGTGTGAGCTAGGGGTATAAGGAACTATGAACTAGGGGTAAGGGGCGCGTCTGCGATGTGCGTGCTCGAGAAGCGCGGAACAGATGACTTTTCTGTCGTTTATGTCACTTTTGGTCAGCCGTAATGGTATCGTTTTTTTTTTTAGTTTCGGTCTCAAAAACACCGTCGTTTGCAAGTTTTTTTCTAAGATAAGCGCTCGTATTTTGAAGGCGACATTTGGCAGGCAGCACTACCTATAACTAGACTACTTATATATTATCTCTTAGCGGAGACCAATGCCTGTATTACTTGCCTGATGGCGGGTGCGAGATGCTCAGAAGAGGGTTCCGTTGCCGGTAGATGCGACAAGCACAAAAGTTGTCGGGCCTTTGCATATTGCATTCTATTTTATTTTGGAAAATAAACTAGACAACTCCTAAGACTAACCTGTCCTACTTTTGGCAAGTATTGCAAACAACTTTTTTTTAGACATTTTATATAAACCAAAGTTATGTGCAAGGCCTGCTATTATGCACATTTACTTCACAGTTATCCTATAATTTCTATTTGTTCTAGCTTTGCTTCAAACCATTAGTGATATTCACTCAAGCCTAGAAAAAGCCTGCTTTTCCCCATGTTTCTCTTTCTTGACCGGATGGGTTTCCATCAAGCCTAAAAACTGTTTTTTCTCATTTCCTAATGCGTTTTTACTAGCCCGGAGTCCTCGTTTTTAAGTAGCCTAGCAGTAAAACTTTTTGTTCAAATATCGAATACCACAGTGAGGCATTTTATTTCTGCGGGCTTGAGTCTTCCTACACAAAATGTGGGCAAAAGTAATGTTTGCCTTGTCATAATCTACAAGAAAAAGGCTATGAAGCTTTTCACTACTGTAAAAAAAAGTGCCATAATCACAAAAAAAATTCTGAATAAAACAGCACAATTCTTTTAATTCAATAAAGTTCTTTCATTTTACTAATCAGTCAAAAAAGAGTAACTCGGAGGTGACTTCACCGCATGGTAAAACAATGAAAAATGGCAAAAGGGTTAAAGAAGTTTTAAAGACCACAGAAGGTTTTGTCTTTGTTACTTATACAAGCCACTTGTTTTCTCCTGCTGTAGGCCATTCGACACACCTGGCAGCTGCATGTGTAACTCACCTGTACATTCTTCTCACTGTTGTATGGTAACTTTCCTCCGATGGCATCCCAGAATTCTTGCTTCTCTTGGCCTTCAGACACCAGTATTATCTCCCTGTAAATTTTTAGCGGAGTTAGACCACAGCAGCTTTATACAGAGAATGATGTACTGGATATATAGTTATTTCAGGACTTGCCTCTGTTTTGAATAACAATTTGGTATACATCTCAGTATTTAAATATGTCTGTGACCTTTGGAGGCAGTAAAATTACGAAGTGTTGTGCTTACCGAAATTTTTGGCAGCTCTTTCTGGCTCTTTTCGGCATTTTCTGGCAGCTCTTTTATAAGATGTGATTAGATCATTCAAACAATCCATGTTGAGAGGAAGAAATAGTTTAACGCTATTTTTCGGACTTTACTCAAGGAAAGGGCCTTAAAGGGGCCCTGCAACACTTCTTAAGCACGGTCAAAAAACACTGCCGATCGGTTGTAGAGACTCCTGAGAACACGCGAGCCGAAAATTACAGCGCAGCACGCAGCCTGAAATTCACAATAAATTATCAAAGTCACCTAAAAATTGCTTTCTCTTTCCTCGACAAATGACGGAGGAAGCTCAAAAATTACGCGTAGAAGGCTATCACATCTATCAGCCATTGACAGATTTAAACATGGCGCGCTCAGTCATTACAGGGATCACCGCAAGAGGCCGTGATTTGTCCACGTGTGTGCGCACAGTCACGCTGAAAAAGACATGTATTCAAAGAAAAAATTAAAAAATGCTCAAAGTCAAGAGGCACGTGTGACATATTTTCTTTGCCCATGCCATCCCTCCCTCCTTAGCTTTCAGCCCTTTTATCAGACGAGAGAAGAGAGAATGTGATTGGAGCGTGTGATAAATCTTTGCAACCCTGCTCGTGCTGGATGGATTCCTAAAATTTTTGTGGTGTTGAATTCGTGAGGCAATAAGCTTTTTAATGAATCCATTCCATAGTTACCTAAAAAAAGTGTTTCAGGTTACCCTTTTAGGGTTACCAAATTTGATCGACTGGTTCTAGCGTGGTCTGTAGCAAGAGTAGTTTCAGTAGCTACAGTTAATCGCACATTTCATTGGTAGTCTAAGAATGGCACACTTTTCAATTTTTTCAATGAGAGGAACATCATCTAAAGCCACAAATTTGCAACAGAGTGTGTATGAAGTGAAACTACATTTATCCAGAAACCTCACTTGTGTGAAGAGCATTCAAGCAGAGCTGGGCGACTTCATATACAGTTGAATCCACTTATAGCAATAACGGTTTTAACATATCTCGTTTATAGCAATGAGAACCTGCTGCATTGTCAAGTTTTCTATGCTGAAATAACTTGCTTGCTGCAATGCTCGCATGCCGCATTATCGTGAATGAAAATTGATTCAGGCTGTTGGGTGTCCATACTGAAAGATAATAGAACGCAAAATCCTAAAGAACGATGAATTCAAGCTGCCGAACACCCGCCCATAACCCAATCTTCTAGCGTGCTTTCCAGTTTACTGTATGCTTTACTGCACTGTGTCATAGCATTGCGGCAAAGCTGACTTTCAAACTTCGTTACGGCGTTTTGGACAAACAACTTTCGTAAAAAGTTGAGACTAGGAAAAGTTTCAGCATCAAAAAGTTCACATTTGCTCATGCATTGGCTATATAAGGCTTGTGGTGTCCCTGTGAAAGCGTCCGATATTCAAAGCATGTCTGAAAAATCGGCAGCCTTGTTAGTCTTATCACCGATTTCTGTTGGGAAATCTTATCTGATACGATTTTTTCACAACACCTTGCGAACTTCTATTTTGCCATTTTCGTGTAAATGGTTTACAGCAATTATCAGTTATGACAATGAAGTTTTTGTGGCACTCGAGTGTTGTTATATGTGGGTTCGACTGTATATTTATCTTTGTGTCGAGCGCCCTACCACAAAGTGCAAAAGTACATCGATGTCGTGCAGCAACTCAAACCCTTGTGCATTGCATACCTTGCCATTTTTTCCAACCTACCTGCAAGATGTGCTAAAGCTCTACTCTAGTATTTTCCGCTTATGACCTGGCCATTTTATTTCTGTCAAACAAACTTTTCTTTCAAACACTGTTTTCACAACGCGTTTTTAAAATGAGCAACGGGTTCTTGCGTGCATATGCTGCCATTAAACAGTTAAGATTTTCAAGATTGGATTATTAGATATTCTTGGAGAAGGACATCACACTGAAGCGATACACTCAAAATGAAGATCACATGAAGAAGTGGGCATACAGTGCTTGATTCCATCATTCGATTACTCCAATATGATTACGATCATATTCCAGTTTGTCCAAGTGCACCCTTTACCATGTTTTTAGTGTGCTCCAAGCTTAAATCTCGAGCATTGAGTAGACAACTTGCCTTCCAGATCCCGTTGCAATCTTTTTGGCCATTTCACGTTCATCACCAGTGCTCTTGCGTCCTGCCCACAGGTACACGTTAGAACCACAGAAAAGTAGGAACACATCACCGGAGTTAAGCGAGGCAGCTGTAAAAGGTACTTGTACAGCCTTCGTATTGTGCTCTGTGGTTCCATGCACTTGCAGAAGGTACATGCTGTTGGTGTAGCCGGCCCAGTCTGAGGCACCGTTGCCGTTGTGCACACCACCCCCATTATAGTGGTTACTATCACCGTCCTTGGGAGTCGAGAAAGAAAAAAATATATATGCACTTAGTGTAATCGTTATTTGGTCATTCATCTGGTAGAAATAGGTGGAGGCTCAGCCAAGTATGTGAGCGAAGGAATGAAGACTAAGATTGGGCATGTTGTTTGGTACAACATGATTACCAGTGCATATCATTGCAGGCGACAAAAAGGAAAAGTGTTGAGTGCACAGTGCTCTTTGTGCTCTCTTCTGTCCCATCTTGATGTTTGAACTGATTATGAATTCATAATGAGGAAATGTCATGTGCTGCAGCATAGCTGAAAGGAGTGGCTGGGAACTGAACAACGTTGGTACAAAATTAGGTTCATTAAACCCCTCTCTGCTATTAGTGGCCACTAATTTTATGAATAATTCACAGTTTAAGTATTTGCATTCACTAGCATGCAGAGGTGGACTACATTGTCACCAAAAGCGGTGAATGAAAAGAAAACTTGTGTAACTCCTCTCGCTGTTAATTCTTTACGCAAACTGGGTCACGAGGTTGTGTTTGAGTGTGTTTTGTCAAGGTTTATCAAATAGCCATAGCTGTAAACATTCCCTTTTTTAAATGCTGTTTGTCCATCTTAGAATAACTGGCACATACATTTTGGTGTACTGTTTTTAGCCAGGAAAGTAGTGAGCGCAGAGCATTAACAGAATTTCACACTAGAGTGCAGTATAAGGTATGTGCAATGGTAGCATAATTTTACACTGCTTTGTAGACTGGCAATGCTCATGCACGGTAGCTTTAGGAGACACATCATTGTTTACGAGCATGATCCGGCCACAGCTGAACTTATAATTGGTAGGTTCAGCCAACAGCTTTCTTAGTTTCTGTGAAGGATACGAAGAAAAGTTTCTAATGCACTGTCAACTGCGGAGCACGTCACTTCTCTGTTGCTTTCATTTGCATGTCAGTAACTGTCCACTCCTATAATAGCTGCTTACGTGGGCATCTTTCCCATGTACCACTCACTGGGGACAAAAGTGCCCAGGACATGTCTACATTTACAATAAAGCTGAGTTCTCAGCTAAGCTGAAAATGTAGGTTTAATGAAATTGTCTCAGCCTATCATAGTTGTTTCAACCTACATAGTTATTCATTAACTTTGAAGGGTTATGCAGTCCGCCCCTGTGGAACAGTGGCTAGGGTGCTTGGCTGCTGACCCGAAGGTTGCGGGTTCGGTCCCGGTCGTGGTGGTCTCATTTCGATGAAGGCGAAATGGTAGAGGCCCGTGTACTGTGTGATGTCAGTGCACTTAAAGAACACCAGATGATCGAAATTTTCGGAGCTCACCACTGCGGCATCTCTTATACTCATATCTTGGTTTTGGGATGTAAAATCCCAGATATATATATTATTAGAAGGGTTATGCATTGACAGTGCAGAAGCTCGCTTTTACCTTTAGGCTTGTGTCCTGAAGCGACTTTTGTCCCCGATTGTATCCATCAGTCAACCATTTCAGGTAACATGGCACCATTTTATACCAATAAAAATGGTAATCTGTACTATGTGCTCATTCATTAAATTAGGGAGTAAACAACTGCTGGGCTTTCATTTGAATAAATTTGATGGCATCAAGATATAGCACTATGTCTAATAACAGTGATAAAAGCAAGCAGGCTTTTGTGCTTACCTCAAAGACAATCATCTGCCCTGAAAATATCATCATGAAGTGGGGGGTTTCGTGGCCTTGACAAAGTCTCACCTGAGGGATGAAGGGGACGAGCATAGTAAGGTTGTATTGAAAAATTGCTGGTAAGAAATCGTAAACAGTTTACGTTATCAGTACCAAAAACCCGTAATGCTAACATTACGTGTTTTTGTTACTATTCAGCAGTAGTGTATCACAACAGGACGGCAACTTCGGTGCAAAGTACACCCCGTTATCAACAAGATCTACTTTCACAGAACTTGCTGTCCACCCGAAGCCCAGTTGTGAATTATCCTGTTGGTATACTTCGATACCATATTGACTGCTAAAATTAAATTCATTCCTTCCTGATTTCCAGTTTACTGTGCAGCACTGATGTATTTGCAAAGCATGTACCAGCGTAGCTTGTCCGTTAAACCGGTCATCCAGTTCCAGAGCCTTGGCCTCTGCTGTCACATGTTCATCATTGGTTGAATTTTTCCCCTGTGTGAAAAAAAGAAAAAGGTTTCCGCATGTAACAGCTCCATGGCTATGTGGTGTGGTGTTCTAAGTGGTACATGCTGTCGTATTTCTCACCAGCCAGCTGTAGATGATACACTCCTCTTTTGTTCCGGACTCGTAAACGTAAGCAATGACGTAGCAGCCGCTTGAGAAAAACCTCCCATGCTCTCGCGCATCGACAGGCACCAGCTCCAAGTTCTTGACCCGGAAAACCTTAAAAGAATATTTTTGTTTCTGCTATATTACACACAAGAGTGATTCAAACAGTAACCATTATTATTATTTTTTTCGTGCTGGTCTTCAGCATTTTTTCCAACCTTTGTATCTTGTGAAAATTCCAGTGGTGTAAAGGCCCCTGACTTGTTTCCCAAAGGGCACCAAGTAAAGAAGGCAAAGAGTTGCAGATGAGCAAATGGCAAATAGCGAATTCCTCATCTACTGCTCTGACCCTAGCTAAGACAGCAACACCTTCAACTGCAGGATTATCCTTTCATCATCATAATATTTTTATTTTTTCCTTAAAAGCCCCTGTATGAGTATTACATATACGGCGAGGGGGGGGGGGGGTTTACATAGAAATTAGAACGTTAAACATATCGGATCATAATACTGAAACATATGATCACAGAGAAATGCTATACTTTTTTAGATACAAAACAAAAAAGTACAATTCGAATGAGGCATTAAAAAAAGATGAAAGAAAAAACAGTGTAAGGTCAAAATGAATGTTACAGCTTGAGGTGATCAGTTAACAACTGCCTAGGCACAATAGGGCTCCACTCTGTGACAACAATGTGTGGCAAAATGTTCCTGTCTGCAAATGCTGTCGGCAAAAAAATTAACAAAAGACATGGAACCATGCAACCGCTAGATGCTGCAGAGTTAAAAAGGTGACAAGATGTACGGTTCAGGGGGTGAAGGAGTTTACCGTGAAGTTGAGGGGAGTAATAGCCGATGGAAGAAGCACAGCCTTGCAATCCTCTGAAGGAATAATAACTCGAGTCCCAGAAATGACTTATGGCACTGATGCTTTCGTTGCGGTGTACCTAGAGCAGATTAATCTGGCCGCACGATTCTTAATGCATTCTGAAACCTCAATGAGGTATGCTTGATGATGTGCTTCAGATAGCTGAGGCATATTCAAGCATCATAAATGTTTCATAAACCAGTTTTCGTGTGGATAAGGGACACAAGGAAAGGGGACGTGTGATGTAACCAAGGGATTTAGTAGTGTCTGCAGCTAGCTTTGTTATGTGACGATACCATCAACTTGTTATTTATTGTGATACCAAGATAACGATATGATTCTAGACAAAGTTATCGAGTTTAGGGAGCAGATGTAATTACAATTGAAGTGCTTACAGATATATGCATAACTTGCATTTCGACATTTCGAGTTTGAATAATGAATTGGAACACCAGGATTCGATTTGATGTAAGCCATTTTGAATGATACCATGGTGAACTTGGTATGGGATGTGCCAACAAAAAATGTGATCGTTTGCATAAAGTCAATTGTAGCTCCAAGTGGCACAGACCCAATGCTCTACTTACCTCTTTTTTGCCAGTTCCGTCATCCACAACTTGAATTTGAGCTGCTAGACTTGGGTTGCTTTGTAGTGCAGAAGCATCAAACTTGGTCTGCACTGTCTTTGCTAGAGAAGAAATGACAAGTATACTTATGTCGTACTATGTCGCACCAGGTTCATAACTTTACATACGATACCTTGTTGTCACCAGGATATCACACTGCGTTAAAGCTTGCATTGCATGACTAATCATATTAAATTGACATGATTATTGAATTCATGTGCACTTTTATAGTGCCAATAAGTATGTTTCTGCAAAGAGACTTCTTGCTTGACTATGGTCATTGCTGGACATAACTTCTGTAAAATCCCGAGCAATCGCCCCCTTCCCCTTTCCAGGATACTTGAAACATATGCTAATGACCGAGTAAGGGGGAGGCATCTTTCCTCTTCTCACATCATTTTAAATGCGAAGCATATCTTTGTGTACTGCAGGCACTTTTAGAGTTTCTTATCTACTTATCTGTCTATCCATCTGCCCACGTCTTAATGTTCTCGAGACCACCCCCTAAACCGAGGGTAACATGATTTGACAAATATGACTCACTGGTCATGACATGAATCATATAACAAATTTGTTGTGTATGCCGTCAAAGCCTTGCTTGCTATACCTACCTGTATAGCACAGACGGGTATATGCCACAGGTGATTGACAGTTTATATATACCCAGTAATGGGTAATATTGAACCAACAAATGCTAAAAAAAAGTGTTATGGTCCCAGCAGAAATCAAATCCAAGCATTTTTATGGCAATCAAATATTCTACCACAGAGCCATGCCAGGTGTCCGAACTGCTTTTCAAATAGGCCCTAATGTTTGTGAAACGTCAATTTTGGTTGCAGTGCTCGCTATCCGATTTTATAAATGTTACATAGGTACCCCTGTGACACAGCCATCAAGTCGGGTTGCATTCTGAGTTGTCACAAATAGTCTGTACTTTTGAAAGAATAACACATGAAATTTCGCTTGGGGATTTCATCTGGGTCAATAAAAACAGTAAATCCATGCATTTTCAATAAAGCGTTTAATTAGAAACACAGGTGTACAGTCTTCTTAACGGCTCTTTTGCCGACATCTTGACTTTTGGTCTGCAACTGAGCAAGGGCTCCCCCTGCAAATCTTGTCCAATTATATCTTTCACCACTGTGGAATGTTCCTTCATATTTTACAATATGTGTGGAAGGAGTTGTACTGATATACTATTGACAACTTTGAAGCAGGACCTTGCCTACTCAGGTGCATGTGCAGCAATATTTGTTGAATAAAATGACATTCAGGCAGAACATTCATAAGACTGCTGTGCTGCTCATGCCACCACACCCATTATTACAATGTAAAATTGTGAATTTCATTGTGCTTTTACGTAATTAAATCATTTCTGTGCAGATTGTAATTGAGTTAGGCTGGTTAATTCTCACAGGGATTGCTTTTCACTAACAGAAAGTAGACCTTCACTATAATTTTTTTAATAACCACAACAGAAAATGTTCAGGCTGTCTTAATTATAATACAAACTCACCAATTTTTGTCGCAGAGTGTGCTTTCCCAACACCAACAAGGTGATTGGTTTCGTTCCATGATCGGAAGAGGCACTTGAACTCAGTAGGTTCCCCACCTTCGACAACACGAGCGACTTGCGTGCAGTGAGGGTAGCCTTTCTTCTTAATGAATCCCTGTAAGGCATGGATGATTCTTAGTGGCACTCTGATTAACACTTGTCAATTTATTTCTGATTGCTGCTTATTCATAATTGCGCATCAACATCTTTAAAGGCTGTCTTGAGAATTTATGTTGATGTCCAATTTTTCAGACTTGGCTGGAAGGTTTAAAGAATGAGACATTCCTAGAAACTGAATTCACACTGCTTTGATGCCCTTAAGCTGACAGCTGCATTCAAAATAGCTCTGAAGGTCTGAAACACATCTGATAGGCGTCTCAGTGCTTGCATTACACTGAGATGGCCGGAATGTTTGTGTATTATGAATAAAAGCGCTGTGACAGTGGCACCTTTCTATTTCTAACATGCTTCACTGCAATACTCTGTGCATGCTTGGCTGTATTACATTTCTGCATAGCGGCGAAGTTGACATTCGGAAATAGTTATAGCTGCAAGTGAATTGGCGTGCGCGAGCACTGGTTCAGAGCTGCGAGATTAATGCCATTTCAGATCTGTAATCACGGCATCAAGTTCAGAATATCACCCAGCAAAAGATGTCAATGGTCAATATTCCACATGTAACATAGTGGATTTACAGGGTTCATAACACTGGCACAGGAGTGTCCATGTTATTGGGTGTGTTGGAGAAAAGAGGTGATTTACCGATTATTCCACAGTGCCATGTGTCAAGAAGTCCAGCGCTCACTTCAGATTATTCATATGTTGAGACCGCAGGAATAGCTTGCGCATGCGGTGAACCACCATTTATATGTAAAGGAGAGAACTACATAGATAAAATTGAAACTGAACCTGGGCATTTCGCATGGCTTCTGTGCGCTCCTTGTGGCTGGCTTTCTTGCCGACCCAGACCCAAATTCCAGCCTCCGCATTATCCACAATGTAAGAGTCCTGCAAGAGAAAAAAAAATAGCTCGTTAAAGCACCATCACTGAATCCTGCAATGCATATTTATTAACCGCTGTATCATCTCTATATGAATTCTAGTTATACTGTACCATTGCTTTAGATATAGAATTAATTGTACACATAGCAGTGCTATGTGTGTATATTGATTGCTGAACTAAGTATTTACATGATCATAAGTCAACCCTTCCCCCAACCACTACCACCAAATATCACGAAAAAAAAAAGTGTGAGCACATTTCATACAGGATATTAAGGTCGCTGGACTCGCTACATGTTGACCGACTCCATAGTTGTCAGTGCCCATTTTGTAACACACATTTCTGTCCCATTCACTAAAAGGTAGTGCTGGAATATATCACGTAGAAATGAATGACTGGCCCGTAGCTAGAAATCTTTTTTGGGGAAGGATGGGGGAGGCACCTGATGATGGCTTTGAAAATATCGTATTTTCATTATTCATTCTATTTAATACACTCCTTTCATCCGAATTTTGAGTGTACCGGTCCCCCTAGGGTACCTCCCCACTCCTTAGCTTTGTGGCAATACGAGGAGATTTTTTAAAAATTCTGTGAATCGGTATAAAGAGTGCAGGTCATATGTGAGAAAATTTGATATGTTACAGTTAAAGTCGGAACCCAAATGTAATGTAACTGTGCCACTGTGTGCCCAGTACCGTGTTCGTCTCATCTCACAAGTTCTCTCCATTGCTTTGAGGGCTACAGAACAAACCCCCTCACAGTTCATTCATCAGCACCACACCGTTTACTCTGCGTCCTTCTGGCATCTGCGCGCACGCATTCGGTGAGTTAAGCAAGCAGGCAGCAGCGGTGACAAAAAAAAAAAGGACATGGTTTCACCCATTTACACTGGTACTCTCTGTCTTGAAATTATCATGTTGCCGTCATGCACTGTAAGGCCCATAAGTTCGAAAACAACACTACATTTCCATCCTGACATTTCTAACACAGTATGTTTGCGACTGTATTGTGCCATTCTCATTATCTGTTATTAAATTACTTGTGCATTAGGTTTAGCAGGCCTGTCTAAACAAACACTTTATATTGCAAATAATGAAGGAATTAGCCTGATGTTTTGTCCTCATCGTGAGATGGCACGAAGTGATGGCTCATTTCTTTATTTATTTGTTGCTGCCAGGCTTAAATCAGGCAATAGCGTCTTCATCAGTGCGGGCATGTTGATTTGCAACCAGAGTTACCGGTGGTTACTGATACAACAATTAAAGAATTGCAGCAACAATTGGATGTAAAGTAAACATATCTCTTTTTAAATGTAAAAACAAGTGCAAATGTGTCAACCCTATGAAGTGTAAGGTAATTATATCTGGAACTACGTGTTGCTGTGCATGCACGTGGCTTGCTTACGTGCCGTAGCTTTGATGGTGCTGAACCAAGTGGTGAGATGGAGTATAGTTTCTGTTTACATTGCTAGTTGACCCTCCAAATTTAGATTTCAAGTTTTTCAACCAAGACTCATGTAAATATGGTAGCTAGAAATGTTGCTTAACTTGACATCATCTTTATTACCACAGCTTACCTGAGTGTTAAGATCACTCTGCTCAAGTGGCCCTGCTTTCACCTCTGTAACCCTCAGCGTGCCACCTTCATCTGAGCACCTAGATGTTTGGAGTGAGGATAGAAATGGTAGAGCAAAAACAACTTTAATGTTGTGTATAGTGCAATAAGTTTCGTAAAAAGAAAGTACATGATTACTTTTTTGCCATTGTTTTTTTTTTTTTACCAATTTATTACAAATATTCCCAAAGGCCCTCATGAGAGGAGATCACACCAAAAGACATTACTCCGGAGGAATGATTCACTTGTACGAATGTTGAAAAACATATGACGTCTAATGTAATGATGTTTTTATATAGTTTTTGGTATGTTTGTATATTTATTCATTTATGCGCAACATACACGAACATTAAGAGAGTGTAGCGCAAGAATGATGTATATGGAAAAAGGTAGCAGACAACAGACACACCAGTTTGTTGTCTGCCTCCCTTTTCTGTGTTGGCTATTTTTGTGCTATACCCTTGGAGTATTTATGGATAACAAACTATACCAAAGTCTCAACTGCTAACATCAACAACATAAACAGGCCAAGTCAAGCTATAAGTATTTGCATAATAAACATTTTAAAATGTCTCAAAGTCTTTTTCCATGGCTCACACAGAAAGAGCTGAGCTGTAAGAAGTGGAACTTGGCAGCATTTTAGGTGTTTCCCTGCATTATTTGGAAGTTCGGAAGAGCATGGAATCTCGAAGTGATTAAAAATCATTCGAACACAGTCTCAATGTAGCCAGTGTTTGAACAAGCGGACTTTGATTCCCGGTTTCAACTGCTTACCTTAGCACGTGCATGTTTCGTACCCTCTCTTGCAACCCAAACAAAAGGGAAAAGGGCAAGTTTGCAAACAGCAATAGAGGGAAAGGAGGGGCTGGCATGCCGAATTGGGCGAGTTAAAAATAAGAGAATGCAGTTAAAAAATTGTAAGAGGCACACGTTGTTGGGTGTCTCGCGACAAAAGCATACAAAGGAAGACAGATTTTTCGTTGATTATGGTTATCGAAACTGAATGCCACCTCACAATAACAATTTCACGGTGAAAGGAATGGTTAAAAATTTCTAAAAGAACGACTTACTTCCTATTGGTTTTGTTGTGCATCTACCATATAGGATGGCTTCAAGAGCCCCTTTGAAACACTCATACCTATTGGCTGGAGTGTTAGACTTGTGAATGAAGTACAACTTTTATTTTTCCATCTCTTACACAAGTTTGACTGAAGTACGTAAAAATTAAGATCATAAAGGTTGTGACCTACAGTTGCAGCCTCGAATAAGATAATTTCGCTTGTGGAAACATTGGCTCCAGCAAGACCTCGTGTTCCAAAGATTTTTCATTGCCTGCATCAACGCGATGTAGGGCTGTTTTCTTTTTAGGTGTGAAGCGCCCTAAGGTCTCATCACGGAGTGTCATATAGTCATGAATCATCATAAACGGGTATGTGCCACAAAAATATGTTGTCTCACTACTCGCTACCGGTCCAATAAAAATGAAGATGGCAACACTTTTGTCAACACTTCCCCAACAATGTTAGGGGAGCTGAAGCACCCTTCCCTACATGCTTTGCCCCTCCCTGTTTTTTTTTCTTTTAATGTGACCAACGCCACAACAACAGAGGTAGACTTACCTGTAAAGCTTCACACCACCGCGATGCTGGATCTCAGCAGCCTCATCCTTAAGCACTTCTCGGTGGCTCTTGACCATCTTGTCTTCCAGTGGTAGCAGGTGGTTAAAGTACTGCATGCAAAGAAAAAAAATTGCAGCAGAATTTTACTGGCGTCAGCTATCAATGTACATGTGAATAGCACAATGGCTCAACGATGCTTCAGCGTTGTGAAAGCATACCATGCCGAAAGTCTCGATGATTTGATTGATATGTGGGGTTTAACGTCCCAAAACCACTATATGACTATGAGAGACGCCGTAGTGGAGGGCTCCGGAAATTTAGACCACCTGGGGTTCTTTAACGTGCACCGAAATCTGAGCACACGGGCCTACAACATTTCCGCCTCCATCGGAAATGCAGCCGCCGCAGCCGGGATTCAAACCCGCGCCCTGCGGGTCAGCAGCCGAGTACCTTAGCCACTAGACCACCGCGGCGGGGCGAAAGTCTCGATGCACCAGAAACTTTCAAATGCATTTCTTTAACATCTTAAGTCAAAGCCATGAGATGCATCATACTATTAACTCTTAATAGGCATGCATAATAGACATTAAAACGAGTAGAGGTCTCTATACTCTATAGTTTTACATAAAGAAATATTTTCTTCTATATAATATTGAAAAACACCACAACGGCATCAAAACAAAACGGTGAGGTAAGATTAATTGGAAACGTTGTACCATGTAAGGGAGACCTCTGTCGCACTTTTGACTATACTGAGCTTATGCCATTTTCAAATACTAGTAGTAATAGCCCTTTATCAGCTAGGGTGGTTCATTTTGTCAAGATATTTGTCAATAATTTTAAATAAGCAATAAGCTATTAGTCAAAACTGAAACAGTGTAGGTATACGATGTCACGATACCTCGACTACACACCATCATTGCTGGCCAAGTTGTTTATCACATGAAAAGCAAACTGGCGATGTCATCCCAAGTGGAGGTAAGCTGTGATAGCCCATTTGAACTTGCCAGTGACGAGTTCAGTGATGATTGCAGTTACTGTGTAAATGCGGAAGCATCGCCTTTTGATTTCAACTTGCTGGAATGTGAAGCAGCCGACTCACCCTGTATCAATCTCCTCATTGCTCAATATTACTATAAGACCCGATGTCAACAACACGCTATGCAGCTGACAAAACTGAAACTGTTCTCACATTCGCCTCTCCTCGCATATGAAAGCGTGTGCTGCATCTGTCTGCAGGGCGAGACGGGGTTGAAAGACTAAATACATACATACGCAGTTGACATAATACATACAGGGTAGCCCACATTTGCTGCATCTGTCTGCAGGGCGAGACGGGGTTGATAGACTAAATACATACATACGGAGTTGACATAATACATACAGGGTGGCCCACATTTACAAACGTGCATTGAGAACTGGCTACCAATTTTAAAATGTGGTTTCTAAAGAACTAAATTGCTAACAGTTGTATAATTCGGCACATATTATCAGGATGCCCAAGAGAACATATTTTGAGAGTTTTATCAATGAATATAAAAAAATCGCTGGAGTTCCCCTTTAGGGATAAGCAGAGATCTTTACTATTTTGCACAAGTACTAAACACATATTGCAGACCTGAAACTGCACAGATGTTGAGATGACTTGCCTCTTTCTCGGGTGAGCCAAGAAGCTTCTCCTGTGCATCTTCAACAATGACAATGGTGCCCTCACCATGCTCAGATTTGAGTTGCTGTGCTGTAACTGCACCCTAGTGGAAAATAAAATCTGTTAGTTCCACAGAGTATCAAGTAAGCTAGACGGTGCAACAGCTGCTAGCCTAGTAGTTTTAATCCCAAACTTGCCATCCTGTTACCTACGCACTGGCAAATGAGTCACTTCAGTATACTACTACTATTAAACCACAAGGATTACTGCTTCATGAATATAATGATAGTGAAAATAGCAATCGACGTGTACTTTTGGCTAGACACTGTGATGCTAATGTCACGGGCTTTTTTAATTTTTGTCAGGCTACAAATGAAAACAATAATGCTATGTAAACATCAAATTTATCACTGCTTATAAAATTTTCAACTTGAAGCACTACATAAATTCAGTGTCAATGAGCTGACATACCTGAATTTTCTCAACATGGTTTGCAAAGCGGCCATTCCACACAAAGATGATTGTCCGAGCATCAATTACAAATACGTCCCCGTCGTTCATATGATTCCAGTTGACACCTGGCAACTGCAATAAAATCACACAGTGATTCAAAATTAGTGCAAGTTTGGTATTTCATATGGAGTGCTGTGAGCAAGTCTCATGAGGCAGCTGCTATGGAAGTTTTTAAAATCATCATCTCAGGCTCTGTATACAACACCCCGTTTGAGTTGAACCGTAAAAGCTCTTAATTTCATATGGCATCTCACCACGCAAGATAATCATAATCTGTTTTTTTTTTCCTTCTTAAAAACTCTCTGCTCACTCCTTTATCGTTCAAAATGCTATATTGCGGTGCTTACACTCATGCAACCTGTTATCTGAAAGTATTGGCCAAAGAAAGGAAAGGCATCGGTATGTAAAAACATAATGGATATCATGATAATGGTGATGCATGGTAATATGAGAGGACCAGACAGCATGCATCACAATATTAACTGAGATTAATTACTGTGCAGGTTTTCTTGCGCTTTACAGTATAAAGCACCTTTTCATCAGCATTTCATTTTGTTACAGATATATCTACCCTGTTATACCCATGCATGTATTTTTCAATGGTACTAACTGTGCATGTTACGTTTGCTTACCTCTTTCACAATGGGCCGGCGTTTCCCTTTCACGTGGTACATGCGTGCAATAGTCTGCTCTTCAACATGTGCAAGACCACTCGCGACCCCTCCACTTTGGATTCTGGGCATATTTTTGAATGAAAAATTATCAAGAATGTGACCTAAGTCATATACTTATCATACTTGGCATTTCAGAAAAGACTTACAAAAGCTTGTGGAAATTGCCATAATTATTTTCCTTAACTTGATATCAGAATGAAGTGATAACAAATAAGCTCAGTAATGAGCATTACTCAGCGATGTCTTGATAAAACATTTCTCCTGTTAGCTCTAAGAAATTTTTGTTTTGAGAGCTCTGTATATATTAGATTTCTTTCCATCTCAGGATGGCTGGACCATGTTTCATCTTCTACAATACAGTTTAAAATTGAAATTAATCAATAAACAAGGCATGCTCAATTGCAAAAAAATTGTGGCACTATTCTAGAAAGATCCCTGATGAGGGTGCAAGAAAAAAAAGAAGAAAAATACAATGACCATTTGCACATATTTTACTTAAATTTGGGAGAACACCTTAAAACTATGGTTCTTCCTAAACATTGCTAGAACAGTGGCTTGCACATATGAAATCTATCATGTCATGTGCCGCAAAGCTACTTAATAAACAGTACGAGGTGTGTTAGAAAGGTAACGAGACTGACAACACTGCACGCGATCTGGTGACATATCTTACAGCCTGTACTAGAACTGTTTGTTTATCCCTCACACTACTTCAGTCCGAGTTTCAACTCTATACAGTTCACACAGTAGTTATGACAGTGCCATAAGTCAAGTTGTGTTTTCGTTATATGTTACATAATGGCACACTGGAATTTAAAGTAGTTGTACACAAAGCTTCATGTTAAACTTGTGAATGCACGAGTATGTCTTTTGAAAAGTTGAAACAAGTGTATGAAGAATATAGTTTGTCACGAGCACAAGTTTTCCGCTGGTACAAGTCATTTTTGGAAGGCCTAGAAAATTTTGAATGCACTGTGTCACACAGCCCTTTCCATCAGTGAATTTTTGACCTCAAAATGCAATAATGTTGTTCCTCAACCCCCTCTTCTCCTTATTTGAGTCCTTGTGACTTTTTTCTTTTCCCAAAACTGAAACATGTCTTAAAAGGACATTATTTTGGAACTGTGGACAACATTCAAAAGACTGTGGCCGATTAGTTAAAAAGCCATACCAATTGAAGGTTCCAGTGCTACTACAAAGATTGGAAGCAACAACTCCACCGATGTGAAGTTGTTGCCCAAGAAACTACTTCGAAAGGGATTACATTGTGGTTTGAAAAAACTGAAAACTTTGGTTAGTGCAAACTCAGTCTCGTTACTTTTCTAACACCCCTCGTAGTTCCAGATATTCAGAAGAACCAGTTGGCGTGAAGTTGAGCAGCAATATTGTGACATTTGCAATTATGCATTCACTCTACTGAGTTCTACCCACACATGGCCTGCATTTGGTAGATGCGACCTTTCTAGAGAAGGTGATACATCTTTTCTTTTTCTTATGGTATGGGCAGGCATTTTCAAGTATACTCTCTAATTAACTGTACGCTTTAGTTTCACAACAAAGTCCAATCACCTTTCACTCTTTTTATGTGAAAACTTTTCCAGAGTTATTTTAAGCACTAGGAGCATTGCATATTTCGGGCTTATGTAAACGCTTTAAGAAGAAGTCAATGTGATTGTTTAAAAAGTTTATTATTTGGTCAAGTTAACACTGCAACGTTATGCAGTGGCTAATGAAGAATGTGAGAGGTGGGCTTATAAAAAAAGAATACTCTTGCTTACTGCCCCCATTGAAATATGGTCATCACAACCCAGAAATGAACCTGCTATTGTGGTGAATGATGAATGAGCTGCCCTCCTGGCATAACAAATTCGACACTGGAAACCAGTTTTTTTTAGTCGTTCTCGACAACTAAATAATTTTTCTGATCTCACATACTTGCTAATTCGGTGCTTAACTGTTTAGACAAATAATACTGAGCCTCCTTTTTTTTTTGTACAGTAAGAAGTAGAGAAGCATAGCCAAGTGACAAAATGCCGTCACCTCACTCCACGGGGGAAGTAGGACAGGAATCTCTGTGACTCAAAGCCTTGTACTTCTCGATGCTGTACGGGGGAGCCACCCAGGAAATCATCCAGCTCCACAGTCTTGTACGCTGCCACACCTGCTTCATCCTGAAAATTGTAAAAAAAAAAGAAATGACTTAAGAAGGGCAACTGAAAAAGAGCGTTGGTGGCAGTGGTAACCTAGCACAAAAAGCCGCAAAATGAGGCTGAGATCAAATGGCCCCACGTCCAATTCACAAACCGATTATGTGCCATTGCCTCAGCTTGAAGGACAAGAGCACACTTGCACTTATTGGGCATATTGCACACCTAGCATAATGAAGACACCTATGTACCATAGGTGCTTTAATGCTCTTCTTTTTTAATGCGGTGCATGGCGATTGCAACACCTAAATGAAAAGATGGAAGAAAAAGTCATACCTTTTGTCAGAAAATACCAGCCACATTGCAAAGTAACTGAGCGCAAAATCTTTAGAGGAGATTGGAGAACCTTTCTTTTCTCAAAAACAGCAAGTTTACTCCAAAATATGAATGGTCAATAAACACAAAATTACCATGTAAGGAGACAGACACCATATTTTAATGCATATAGTCCACAATCATATGCACTCTAGGATGCACAGCTATGAAACAGAAGATTAGTGAAATGTAATTGTTGTTTCTTCACAATGACTAATATTATTTTTATCAATATTCCAGTGCCACTGTTCACTTCAAAAAAGTATATAGGAGTATCGTATGAAAAAAAAATGCAGTGGTTAACTTATAATTAAATGGAATGGAAAAAAAATTTATGAGCACGTAGCGGGCATCTCCCACATAGGAACCAACAGAAAATTTTCATACTCTTTTTTTTTTTTTCAGAATTGGGGTGGGGTGGATGGATTTCATTTCTCAGCACTAAGTGGTCGATTACAAACACAGGGCAGGAAAAAAAGAAGCAGAGTTTCTTTTTGCTTGTCTGGAATGATATCCAGCTTGCACATTTTTCCACACTTTGATGGAGCCAGAAGGACCAAGTTCTCGAGACCAGTTCACAAGCAGGCACGCTTCTTTCTTTTTCAGGCTGTGCGCAACCTGAAGTTCCTGCCTCGAGCGAATTTGTTTAAAACCCGGAACTTGTAGTTTCTGTGAGCTTAGCAGTTTATTTGAAGCTAGTCTGGTTACCCAAAAACGCATGCTGTAGTTTTTTTTTTTTTTAAACAAACATGGCATTTATCAAGCCCACTTGCTTTGTGCGTGCGAGATGCACGTAGAGACTGGGTCCTCTGCATTTATTTTCAGTTTAGTTGCATCTTTGTTGATTTTGTTGAGACAGCAAAGATATCCTTGTGTTGATAAAGTCAAAGAAACTGCTTACATAACTGTTAATCGACACACTTCGGCTACCAATAGAAACGAGACCAAGAGCACTCATGCAAGCACTTCAGTGAGTAACTTTTTTTCCCTCATTCTGCATTACCGCCGGGACAAAGTGGTACATGTAGTGACAATTGGCTACGCTTTGATCGATGTGGAGCTACAAATCATGATCATGAGTAACTGTGTCTCCACAGAATGTGGAGGCACCATGGCACACTTTCAAGCTATTCCTTGGAATAGAAGTCCTCAAAAATCACCCATTTAAAACTGTTCCAACTTTCAACGAGGCCTGCATGGCTCGAGTAACCGTTCTGAAGGCTGTTTGGCATATAATCAAGTCACAACACTGCGACACGGTTGGGCTAGATTGATCGCTGTCTATGGTATTTTGCCTATAGAGGGACAGAAGGTAGGAGAAAACAAGGCAGGGAACCAAGAAAAATAAGAAAAGGAGCTAAAAAGTGGTTTCTATTAATTTCTTCACTACATCTTTTTTGAACAAAAATTAAGTAAATTGTTTTTATTTTTAATTCTCAATACCTCGAAATGGACATTTTCTTTGTTACATTTGTCCCATTAGAACAACTTGAAGAGACACAAGGCTGACTTTTCACCAGAATAAACTAAACAACATAAAGAAGCTAATGAGCATTAAGTATACAAAAGAGTTTACTTTTTGGCAGTTAAAAATAATGACAAATTAATTGGCTTGCTAAAAAGAATTGCAAAAAGTTAACACTTGAAATAGATGGGTAAATCTACCTTCGATGAAAGAAAAGACACCGAAGAATAAAATAAGACTAGCCAGAATGCTGTTGTTGGGTCTTACAGTAAGTGGGTCATACAGAAACCCTAAAATACACGGGAGGCATAGGCTTAAGTTTTTTACCGTTTTTATCAGTGTTTAAAAATTGAGCCATACCTCAAAATGCACAAAGTTATTTCAGTGTCATGCTTCAACAAAATACAGCAGCACTGTTCAGCAATATAAGAAGAAAAAAAAAGGACTGCATGTTTAAGCTTTTGATTTTCATGGCAAAGCGTGGGGCATCTTACATATGTGCCATCACCACATACTTCAAACATTTTCGAGAACTGTTATAAACTTGATTCCTAATGCTTATTTTATAAAATGCTACCTTCAATTATTCAGTGTTTTTAAATCATCCTTGGTTCATCAGCCTGTTGATGTGCCCAAGCAGCCTGCTTACTTCCAAGTTTTCTGTTCTGCACTTCTGAGGCTCTTGGTTGATCAGCACTAGCTGTGCAATTTATTAGTTGATTTTTGTGCGTTTCCTCTGTTACATAGCCACAGTTCGTGCATGATAAAACCTATCACTAAGCTTGAAGGTCACTTATAGATAGTGCCTTCTATAAATTGAAATTGAAAGCCGCAAGGATGGGTGGTAGGGGCAAGCATGTATTTTTAAACTTAGTTATGGCTTTAAACAGCCTTGTGACTTGTAATTTTTCTTTGAAACGGAACATCGAATTAAGCTCAAACCTCATTATAGCAAAGTTGCCTCTTACAAGAAAAACTTCGAGATATCCGAAAATTCATTATAAAGGTTATTCCTAACATTGTAGCTATTACAAGACTATTTTCATTTACTTCGTTATAACCAATATTTTGTTATATCTGTGTTCATTATATCGAGGTTTGAGTGTATGAGGGCATCAATTTCCAATGCTTATGCATAAAGTCTTTTTGCCTTTTATGCTGACCATCATTTCTCGAGAAAAAAATGACAGCTGTGGTCGCACCTGTTACTTGTTAAATGCTTTGCATTATGGACATGATTCGCTGGAGAAGCTCACCTGAGATGTTTGTGCTCCAAGCCAAAAGTGAATGTGAATGTCGAGGTTTCCGACTGCTTTCTTGCTCTGCACAAACAAAGTGGAGAGGTTCATCACTGTTTGTCTTACATATTCCAAGCTCAATTACACAGCACTGTGAGTGACACATAAATTAAAATTCACTTACTTTCATGTAGCAGTTTGGTTTCTCAGTGTTGTCTGATGCCTAAAAGTGAGAGAATTGATAGTTGTCACTAAAAATGATCAATTATAAAAATTATATACTGTATAGTTAGTTAATTACACTACATGGAAGACAAATCTATATTAGTAAAATTGTCCTGTTCCCCAAAAGGCTGGACATATCAGTGCCACGTTTTAGAGAAATGCAAAAAGTAAGAGAGATTACAGTTTCTTCTACAGTCAGTGTGTCATCACACACATGCAAATTTATTCCATTATTTATTCAGTGTGCTTGAGAAATATAAGCGGTAAGGAGGCACTTAGTTATCCTCTTTGTGAATTTTTATGCACTGATCATTGCATTTTTATTGCTGCTTTGATGACATCACACTTGTAAAAAGTTAGTCAAATTTCTGAATTTTACATGTTAAGTCTTACCGCTGCCACAATGTATGAATCTCCATTGAAGAAATAGCCATAACTGTCCTTGGGGAGCTGCACAAGTTGCATTTTCTGAAAGTTGCAAAATGAAAATTTGGTAAACTTAATAATCATGCTAACTAAGGAGCCGCGACAGCTATGGGCAACATTGAAAGGTCATTGAAATGAAACTTGCCTCGATTCGCCATATAGTAAAGAATGTGCTGTTTTTGGGCAGTGACTTGAACATTGGATCTACAGAAGACATGATGCTGTGGAAAGACAAATTAGTAAGTCGGTGAAACGAACATTTATATTTCACTTCTCACATCTAACAAGAAAAAAAAAAAAGAAAGATTTCTTTCATGTCACTAAGTTACCATTTCACAATGTTAAGATCACCATGCTTGCGGTAAGATATTTTGTGTGTTTAAAAAGATGGTGAAGTCTTTGTAGTAACTTTTATTTACTTTGTGTTCCAATAGAGCGAAAAATTTGATATAGCAAGTTTAAGGAAATTTTATGCAGTCGCTAAAGTTTAAAGAACAGAAACCACGACACCATAGTAACATGCGGCTGCCAATGTTCTGGCACAAATTCAAAAATTAACCTTTCACAATTAAGGATAAAGAATGGTGCAGGTACTCTGTTTCTGTCCCGGTCTTGTCTTTATGCCACTCATTTTGCATCTTACAGGCAGGCCTAATGTGCTGCTATGTTAAACATTTACCTTCATTTTCTCTTCAAATGACAAACCTATGATGGCCAAATCACCTACAACAGCGTTCTCGAAAATAAATAAAAAGTTTCGACGGATTAAGTGTTTCGGTGCTTCAAGCTTTTACCACTGCTTTCACGTTAGCTCCAGTCACCAGTTTCTCGAGCTGGCTAATGCTGTTCATTGCAGACGACGCGAGCTTGCTTCACTTGCGAGCTGTATGAATTCGGTAATTTCATCGAGCGGAATCCACGAATAAACGGTGAAGAATCGAGAGTGCATGCTTCACAATTCCTTCCCGTTCTCTTTTTCACTCCATTCCGTGCATTTTCGATCATCCGAGGAAATAATGAGGCATGATTAATCGATCGGAAAGAAACAAAGGTCCGACTGAGGAACGCGGATCTCCAATTTAAATGCGCCACAGGCGAAACGTCGACGCTTTTACCGCGCGGAAAGCGGACAAAAACACGCACGTCCGATCGTCTTGGCGATAATCGCGCATTTCCCGCTTCGCGTTGCCGATTTCAACCGGATACAACGTCTCGCTGGGGACCGCGCAAAACAATCAAGCGGCGCGTTTTCTTTTTGTTTGTTTGTTTGCTTCATGTACGGATCAATGAGATGAACAACTGCGTGCGCCTTGTGGGCAAGCGATGACTGCAGGATTGCCTCGCAGCGAGACGCGTCTACCCGGAACCACGCTGCAATCTCTTCCGCGTCTTGTTTTTATCGCAGTTAACTGTGCCTCGGCACGTTAACGCTCTTTATCGGTGGGCGTTTGAGACGTGCATTGACGCGGGTCACACATGTTATATGGGGCAGTCAAAGGAGCGATGGTATGGAGCCACAGACGTGTTTCGAAATGTCGTCTGCTTCAGTTTGACTTTTAACTACTTTCCCGCTGAAGCTTCTGGCACAGGCGCGATCGTAACTTGATTAGCGATAACTTAATTAGCTTTCAGTTGCCAGATATCGGTGAAAGCGCGAACGGTAAGAACGCTACATGGTGTCCGCATTGTGGTTCGGGTCCTCGAAGGTGAACTTGGATTTGCGGGTGTCACACCTGTCCCGTTTATTAGGGAGGCGATCGCCGGGCTAATTCCAAGAGCCGAAGTATCGGCCCCCCGAACCGCACCACGAAAGCGTGGACAATTTAGAAGTGGTCCTTATTGGTGCGCCAGCGGACGCCGGCTGTGGCCCAAAGAACAAGACAGAGCCGAGAGTTGATAAACAAACAAAATTATATTCTCATTAACGGCAGATCAAAAACAATACACACGTATGCACACTCCACAATAGTTACATACAATACGTCACCAAACAGACAATGTACTACACAGTACAATCAACCACACTTGAAACAACGGACACAGACAACAATACGCACTACAATGCAGTCGCATGCACTGAACAACCAAGACACTTAAAGACTAAAGAGATATAAAACCTATTCAGTCCAAAGTCCTTCGAACAAAAGTCTGAATGATACTCTTCCGAGAATCACTCACTCAAAGTCCAGCGTTGTTGTCGTTCCGCAGCTCTCGAAGTTCTCTTCCACTGGAGGAACCTCCCGTCTTCAATTGGCCACTCTTCAAACTTCAACTTCTTCGCCGGAAATCCGTCGGCTTCACACACGCAGCTGTTGCCCGCGTCTTCGCTCGATAGCGGTAAACTCACGCTCTTGCCTGTAGCTCGAGCCGTCCCTACGGACCAAAAACTTCGCCGACTACACGGCGGACTCTCTACGCACTCTGGCGCTCACTTCCGTCTCCTCCTGTTCTGTCACTACGGGCAGAACCTTCGCCGACTCCACGGCGGAATCCCTACGCGCTCCGGCGCTAACTTTCCGTCTACTCCTGTTCTGTCGTCTCGGCCGCTCGATTAAATACCTTCCGCGCCACCTTCCAGAAATTTCTGGTCATTTCGTCGGCGCGATACGCGGCGAAAGCTGGGAAGAGGGCGAGACAGTTGGAATGCCCTCTCCGGCCTGTGAGTCAACTCGGTATGGCCCCGCCCACTTCTTTCTGGAAAAATCGCGGGCTTGCTGGGCCGCCGATGTGGGGTGAGGAGGTTCGTCTGCGAAGCCGTGCTTCTGCGGGGAGAGCGCGCGCCCGGGAGCCCTCGATGTTTGCTTTCTTTTTTTTTTCTCTTTTTACCTCGCGGCGTTTCTGCCGCCCGTTGTCGCAAGGATTTGGCGGCGCGCTCTTTTTTAGCGCTCGTTCTGTGACACTGCCCCCCACTTTAAGAATATTATCTCATAATATTCAAAACCACACAAACGAGCGCGAACAGTCACCACACATTCTCACAGACTGTAACACAATCCGTCGCTCATGACACTTCACATTCACAATATATCACTCAATACAATCGTACATTGTAGTTCAATTCCACAACACATGAAATATAACCACAGGTACATGCCAACAACACTTCATCACACATTCTAAACAATACAAACGTACAAAGTTCTGTCTATCCAACAATTATACAACACTATACATCACACCATCGCACAGAACACTGACTCACTCGACATACACTTGAGACACAGGATAACAAGAACATTAACACAACATATGGCACTCAACACTGCCCAACACATTCTGATTTGACTTCTCCACTTATCCTGAGTACTTCGAGCACCGCTTGCGCCCCTTTTTGCGGTGCTCGCTCGATCTCTTCTTGTGTTTCCACGTTCCTTTTCGGCGAGCCCCTTCCAACGACGGTATCTGAGGCGGCGTCTCAGCCATCGTTGTCACTTCCGACACCGTTAACGCGTCATTACCTTCGACGGGTCCTGTCTGTTTATTTACCCGCTCGATCATGCCTCTACATTTTGCCCGGCTGGCCGACTCCGTCTCCTTTACACTGTCGGTCGGTTGAGGTCGTGCCGACGTAAGTCCGGTTGCTCGGCCCGTGAACTTATTCGACACGATCGTCTTCTCCTTCGCTGTCTCTTGCGCCGCAGCTTCACCTTGGGCTCTAGTGAGATCCGTCACGGGATGCTCCTCCACTGTATCTCGCGGCCGCTGTGTTGGCGAGGGCTCTAACTTCGGGTCTTCTCCCAAACATTCTGGATCATTTGGCCCTCGCGCCCCGTCGATGTTTCCGATGACAAGGTCATACAGGGGGGTCGTCATGCATAACGCAGTAACCTTCCCGCTGAAGTACGGGGTTTCAACCTCAATTTCTGCTTCGGGAAGCATCCGGACCGTACGGTCAATTAGGCAAACCGGTTTCGTTCTGCCTGTCAACTCTCTTTCCCGTACCAAATTTCTCCTCACGATAACCGTGGAGCTACCGGTGTCTCTTAGAACCGTAATCTTCTTGCCTGCAATCTTCCAGGAAGTGTTGGCATTCCCTTCGTAACACCGGTTGGCTGTTTTGACATTACAGCACCCACAATCGGAATTTTCTCCCCATTTTTCAATTCTACGAATCCGTCGGTGACGGCATTATTATCAGATTTCTGTGCTGCTTGCACACAGGATACCTGGTGAGTTTGGCTCACTCCGTTCCGACATGCATCTGCTTTATGCCCAGTCTGACCACACTTAAAACATTTCACTACGGTAGGGCTCGTAAAGATCGTTCGACAGTTTTTCGCGCGATGACCCACTCGGTTACACAGAAAGCATCGCTGAATGCTCTCTGGTGCACGCTTCTTTTCTTCGGGAGCCAATTTCTTCGAATCATCGGGGCACTCCTTCTTTACCTTGGCCAAATTAGTGCCACCTTGCGCTTCCAAGAATTGATCAGCCAATTCAAGCATTCCTTCAAATGACTCCGCCTTCCTCTCTTTCAAATACAGCGACAGGCTTGGGTGGCAACTAGTAAGAAATTGTTCTTTAATTAGCAGCTCTCTAAGCTCATCGTACTCCTGTGCTGTCCCTGAAAGTTCAATCCATCTGTCGAAATAGTGGCAAAGTCGGGCAGCATACTGCGTAGCTGTCTCACCATCAGCTGGCTTTCCTGTCCGAAATCTGTCCCGGAATCCTTCCACAGTGAATCTAAATCGCTTCAACAAAGCAGCTTTCACCTTTGCGTAGTTGGCTGCATCGGTCGGCGTCAGCCTACCGTACACACTGAGCGCTTCACCACTCAAGCAGGTACTCAAAGCAGTTGCCCATTGCTGTTCCGGCCAATTCTGGCTCTTCGCAATCGTCTCAAATCGGTGGAGGTACGCGTCTAGGTCGTCCTTCCTTTCATCAAACGCTACGAGCAGCTTGCTTGGGTTCAAGCGGAAGCCGTGATCTTCCCGTTCGCTGCTTTCAACTCTAGCTTGGACGGGAGTTTCACTTCGCTGTTGCAAACGGAGCCGCTCGAGTTCCATCTCGTGTTGCCGCTGCCGCTCCCTTTCAGCCATCTCCGCTTCTCTTTCTTCTCTCGCCCTTTCGGCTGCCAACTTTTCTCTCTCCAGCTCCAACTTCAATTGCTGCTCTCTTTCTTCCTTCAGCTGTCGCTCTTTTGCCTCTCTTTCTTCTTTCAGCTGTCGCTCCTTTGCTTCTCTTTCTTCTTTCAGCTGTCGCTCCTTTGCTTCTCTTTCTTCTCTCGCCCTTTCAGCGGCCAGCCTTTCTCTCTCCAACTCAGCTGCCTTTTCTTCCTTGGCCCTCTCTGCCGCCAACCTCTCTCTCTCCACCGCCTCTTTCTCCTTCTGGCTTACCCATTTCCGTAGTTCGGCGCCGGAAAGACCCATCTTCTCACCAAGCGCAACTAACTTTTCGAGGTCCATTGTGTCTCGCAACTCGCAAATACAACCTTGCCGCGTGCAAAAAGTATCTGCCTAAATCAGTCTATCGGAACACTCCCCTGCACTCGTTAACGAGAACACTGAACAACACACAAGATCGTTCCGATAGCACTATCAACAACTCGAGGCTCTTTCTCACTACTTTGGACACACTGTGCACCAAAAGGTCCTGTATCGCGGACGTCAGATTAATTGTCACACCTGTCCCGTTTATTAGGGAGGCGATCGCCGGGCTAATTCCAAGAGCCGAAGTATCGGCCCCCCGAACCGCACCACGAAAGCGTGGACAATTTAGAAGTGGTCCTTATTGGTGCGCCAGCGGACGCCGGCTGTGGCCCAAAGAACAAGACAGAGCCGAGAGTTGATAAACAAACAAAATTATATTCTCATTAACGGCAGATCAAAAACAATACACACGTATGCACACTCCACAATAGTTACATACAATACGTCACCAAACAGACAATGTACTACACAGTACAATCAACCACACTTGAAACAACGGACACAGACAACAATACGCACTACAATGCAGTCGCATGCACTGAACAACCAAGACACTTAAAGACTAAAGAGATATAAAACCTATTCAGTCCAAAGTCCTTCGAACAAAAGTCTGAATGATACTCTTCCGAGAATCACTCACTCAAAGTCCAGCGTTGTTGTCGTTCCGCAGCTCTCGAAGTTCTCTTCCACTGGAGGAACCTCCCGTCTTCAATTGGCCACTCTTCAAACTTCAACTTCTTCGCCGGAAATCCGTCGGCTTCACACACGCAGCTGTTGCCCGCGTCTTCGCTCGATAGCGGTAAACTCACGCTCTTGCCTGTAGCTCGAGCCGTCCCTACGGACCAAAAACTTCGCCGACTACACGGCGGACTCTCTACGCACTCTGGCGCTCACTTCCGTCTCCTCCTGTTCTGTCACTACGGGCAGAACCTTCGCCGACTCCACGGCGGAATCCCTACGCGCTCCGGCGCTAACTTTCCGTCTACTCCTGTTCTGTCGTCTCGGCCGCTCGATTAAATACCTTCCGCGCCACCTTCCAGAAATTTCTGGTCATTTCGTCGGCGCGATACGCGGCGAAAGCTGGGAAGAGGGCGAGACAGTTGGAATGCCCTCTCCGGCCTGTGAGTCAACTCGGTATGGCCCCGCCCACTTCTTTCTGGAAAAATCGCGGGCTTGCTGGGCCGCCGATGTGGGGTGAGGAGGTTCGTCTGCGAAGCCGTGCTTCTGCGGGGAGAGCGCGCGCCCGGGAGCCCTCGATGTTTGCTTTCTTTTTTTTTTCTCTTTTTACCTCGCGGCGTTTCTGCCGCCCGTTGTCGCAAGGATTTGGCGGCGCGCTCTTTTTTAGCGCTCGTTCTGTGACAGCGGGCGCGAATTGAGTGCCTGCGCATCATGCAGCGCTCGATAGTCTGGACGAATCCGACTGTTCCGTGGCATGTCCGAGGCCAGCTATTAAGCGAAAGGTTGTGTTTTGAAAACAAATAACAACAAAAGAGAACACGAGCTAGCCGGGAAAGAAGAATGGGCGAGAACCGGATGCGGAGAGCGGCGCGATGCCACAGGCAGCGATGACACGCATGGCTGGCTGGCGCCGCGGGAACAGTTGTTCCAAGAGCACGAAGAGAGGCCCGCAAACGAGAGCTTTTATTTGATTTCTACCCTGTGTCGGTGCGCCACCTTTCCCGCATGTGCATATGCGGTCGTACTTACGCATGTGAAACTAGAGCTTACGGGCCGTACAGTAGTTAAATATATACAATTTCACGCACGCTTGCGATGGGGACTGTATCCTACCACGCATCCTCGTTTCGTTATGAAGAGAGACCGAAGTAGCCACCGGGTACAAGAGCACAAACCTACAGCGTGCTAAATGCGTACTCTTCCGAACCGAAACCCATTTGAGATGCGGCGACGAAACTTCCAATCTCACGATCTTTTTTTCTGTTCTGATCGCGCAGCAAGCGAAACAGCCTAGTAGGAGATCCTTCTAACTCTGCGCGAACGATCACCGACTGCAATGGCATAGACAGGCACTGTTACAGCAGCGAACTACCTTTTCACGGGACGCTCAAGAGATGGACGCGATACAAATATACAAAAGTAGCGCCGCTCCAGCCGGCAACACCTGCCGCACTTTCTGCAGCAGACGACAGAGAAGCGGGCGCACGACGGCCGCTAGGCCTGGGATGTGATGTGCCGTTCCAATGCGCGACCGCCGACAACTGAGCGAATCTCGAAATCCTGGACGCCTCCCGATAGGCGCGACATACTGGCAACTAGGCAGAAAAATTACTTACCTTTTATGGTGCTGCTTACGAAGATTAACTCCCGATAAACAGACGAAAAGCAAAAGTCTCTGCAGAAACAACGAACGCGGCCGTATCACACCTCACCGCTGGTTTCCATTTCGCCGCAGAACATCCACCGTTCGAAGAGGCTCCCTGACAGAAAGTAGTGCCCTGCCAACACTCTCGAATATCACTCATCACCAAAGGTCTTCAACCTGTGAACTAGAAATTAAAGTCGTTCTCTGCGGTTTTCGAAGTGCTAAGCTGCATGTTTTCTGTTTCTATAGTCTTTATCTCGCCACTTTGCTAGCGAAGAGAAAGAAGTGCGTGTATTCCTCCGCAGTCTCGAAACAGAAACCTGTTGTGCGCGCGACGGCGTTGCTGCTTTTGTGTGGCGCGTTCTTTCCCCTTCCCGACGCCGGCCCGGCCCGTCAGCGCGCACAATGCGCTTCTCACCGTAATTCCAGGGCACAAGAGCAATCATAAGCCACCCACTCTATTCTCGCTCCTTTAACGCATCTCCTTCAACCGCCAAGTTTGGTTTTCATCTGTTCACGACTTCGTTCTCTTTCGCGTGCAAAACATGCGGAACTGGACGACACGTGCGCACTTGGTTTCGCTTTGTCCAGACTGCGTAACGCGGGGTCATCCGCCGTCATACCGCGCCCGCTTAGTGTCCCCTCTGCATTATCCTTGCTTCCTTTTCTTTAGAGTGCTCGTCCGACAAAGGTACAGAGGGACAAAGCCTTTAGGCGAATGACATTTTAATCGGAGAACGAGGTCGCCCTGATAATGCACTTTGGTGAGACTGTAGTCGCAGATCCCGTTGCTGTACGTATACTTTAGCAACCCGTGGCGACGAAAACAAGAAACAAAAAAACAGAAGCATGCAGTTTATGCGACGAAGTTGCCACGCTCGTAGCCATGTTTGTAGCTATGTCGTCCGTTCTTCCTATTTTTCATAGCACGTATTCAGATAAATGCAGCAGTTATTGACTACCCACCCAAGTACCGTTCGAGCCGGCTTTGAGTGCTACAATATGCGACTAAGCGCAAGTACGTATGTCGTTAGAGCGCAAACGTTGTGCTTAGTGAGACTATTATAGGCGGGGCAAACCGTGCTACGCCCGACAGTCTCCTGTTCCAATTCTCGTTGCTCGCAGCAATTCCGCGGGAATCATACTTCGTCTTCTGTTCCTCTTAAAGAGGACAGATGACACGTCTGCACCACGGTGGACTGACTGTAGCGGGGTCGCATAATTGCAGAGCGAAGCAGGTCGCTAAAGAAAGACCAACTTCAGGGGGAGAGAAGGAGAGGGTGACGTGAGCGTGGATGTCTACTGCTGGAGTTGTAACGTTTTCGGTGCGTAGTACCTTTTGGCTTTGTTTTACTCGCCCTTTTATTCTTTTTCGTCCCGTCTGCCGGGCCTGCTTTCCTGCAGAAGCAAATGCTTTCTCAGCCGCGCCTCGGCTTCCGTGACTCTGTTGGACGCCATTTTTTTCTCTGCCTTTTCTTCATACATATTCTTCAATTCGTGTCTACATGCACTTACGTCTTTCGCTGAGCGGTGTGATCCGCCTTGCCGGGCGTATCTACAGAAAATGCTTCAGTATAGCAGGAAGCTGCGAAAGTCGGGCGTTCTCGACTGCGAACTCCGTCAACTCCGCTCTTTGCTTATCTCTGTTCGAAGGGGGAAATCGACTGAGGATAACTTCCGCGGACCGTTCGTGGTTTCGGCGCGTTCTCACGACTGAAGAGATGACTAAGGTTATAAACACTAGACATCGTGAAAGAGAGGTACCTGCAGAGAGTTAAAGAGAGGTACCTGCAGTTACGCAGTCATTAACTTGGTTAGGTGGTACATTTTAAAACGGATAAAAATCAGTGGAAAACGCGGAAACCTAGTATCTGAGGGTCGTGTTGCTTACAAGGAAAGGTGTTTCTTGAGCTACCACAGCGGGCACTGAACGCTGCTCCAGATCGATTTCGAAGATCCGGCTTGGTACCACCATGCTGCAGATATTGATGATTTGATTGATTTGTGGTTTAACGTCCCAAAACCACCATATGATTACGAGGACGCCGTAGTGGAGGGCTCCGGAAATTTTGACCACCTGGGGTTTTTTAACGTGCACCCAAATCTGAGTACACGGGCCTACAACATTTCCGCCTCCATCGGAAATGCAGCCGCCACAGCCGGGATTCGATCCCGCGACCTGCGGGTCAGCAGCCGAGTACCTTAGCCACTAGACCACCGTGGTGGGGCTATGCTGCAGATATTGGTAACGTTCTCCCACAAAAGTATGTAGTGTCGTGGTCGAACAGTTGAGTAGCCGAGTAGCCGAGTAGCCGAATCAATCAGCTGTGTGTAAAGCGTTTTTGTAAAAATAATAATAATAAAACATTACTCAATGTGGGGCTACAGCTGGCATTAAGCCTCTGCGTCAGTTGTAAAGAAATATTTCCAGCTTCATTAACCGCCGATGACGATTTCATTTCCGATATCGGTATATGAAATGTACGTGCAAGCAGACAGAATTTCACTCGTAAGCAATAAGAGAAAAATAAGATCGTAGGTATAGGCCTCAGTTCTTTTGCAGAAATACGCCTTTTCCCCACTCGACACTGTAAAGTGTTGGTACGCAAATCCAGTCTTTCCTTTCGAACCGTGAAAATTCAGCATGTCGCATTGTGTTGGTGGGTGCGTACATAACCACGTATACAGAGGCCATAGCATCACCAACTGCAACACGGCTCGGCTCGGCGTCTGCATTTTTCCGTTACTTGCAGAAGAAGGCGGACCTCATAATTTAATGCTACCCGCTTCGGTTTGGTTGGCACGTTTTCACCATTATTCCCAATGCTTCCCCTTTTGCCTGGCGTTCGTCTTTAGCATTATTGTTTTTTTTTTTTTAGTAATTATACCGCGCGATTCTTGGTCGATCCCCCGTGGCGGGTGTATGATTGGGAACAAACAAGCTCCGTGCTGCGCTGCCGGCTTCCTCATTGCCATAATCGAAACTGCGGCCAGGATAATTACGAAATGCGGACTTTCGTAGAACCGTGAAAGCCGGCGAGCGCAGCTTCGAAACATGCACGAGAAACGAAAGTTCTCTCGCACTCTGAAATCCCCCCGCAGGAATAAGCGTATACCGTGTTTATGTACCGAATAAGCCGCGCGAACGCGTAGCAGGACCTCCGGGAAGCCGAAGAGCTCCGTCGTAATCATGCGGGCATGCATAACGAAAACGACGGTCGCGACCGCCGTGATCATGCCGATAAGAAACAAAGGCGGTCTCCGTATGCACGTCGGCCATTCAACTCTCCGTGTTGGTCCCCGCATGGTGCAGTTCTTGTCGCGTATTGTTGCTGACGCTTTGAAAAAGTATGCGATCAAGCAAAAAAGAAAAAGAAAAAAAAAAGTGACGGCGTATTTGCGCGCTTCGCTACAAATGTCATCGAAAGACGATATAGTCTTCTGCCGGTTGTATTTTTCGTGAATAGCGTCGCATTTTCAGCGAAGCGGAAGAAATGCTAGGGTCTTAGAATTACGTGTATATTGTCCCGACGTCAAGAGAGAGGTCGTACTAGAAGACGCTGAGAAAACAGCAGCGGGTCGGTCTTTTTGTTAACCGCGTGAGAGAGAGTTCCTCATCTTTGTCGTTGTTGCATTCTGCATAAAAGCGTGCAGATGCGCGTATGCGCTGTCGCCTTCGTCTTTTTCGCGGGACGCACGTGACATTTGCCTCCCTCCAAAAATGGCATCGTCCCGATGAGTAGCCAAGGCACTCTACTTATAAAAACGCACATATGCACCGGCACGCACAGGACAAACGAGAGTTAGCTGGACAAGTAGGGTTTCATCCGGATGACATGCACGATTTCGGGTGCGCAGTTTCGGCGACTGGAACTGCAATTGCCGTCAGGAATAACTTCGTAGTTGATGTCGTTCAATCGTCGGGTGACTCGATATGGGCCAAAGTATCGTCGTAATAGCTTTTCTGAAAGTCCGCGTCGACGTATTGGGATCCAGACCCATACCTTGTCGCCTGGTTTGTAGGTTACCAATTTATGTCGTAGGTCGTACCGTTTCGCATCTTTGTGTTGCTGGTGACAAATACGCACGCGGGCTAGCTGTCGGGCTTCTTCGGCACGCTGACCAAATTCTTCGGCGTCAGCGTGAGTGTCGTCACACGCGTGCGGCAGCATAGCGTCCAACGTTGTAGTGACTTCGCGCCCGTGTATTAAACTAAACGGCGTCATTCCGGTAGTTTCCTGCCGGGCAGTATTATAGGCGAAGGTCACATAAGGCAAGATTTCGTCCCAGTTCTTGTGTTCGGTGTCGACATACATGCAGAGCATGTCTGCGAGGGTCTTATTAAGCCGCTCTGTTAGTCCGTTTGTTTGTGGGTGGTACGCCGTTGTTCTCCGGTGAGCTGTACCACTGAGCCTGAGAACCGACTCCAAAAGTTCTGCCACGAACGCAGTTCCTCTATCCGTGATGAGAACTGTTGGAGCACCATGCCGAAGGACGACGTTTTCTATGAAGAAATGAGCCGCTTCTGCTGCTGTGGCCCTCGGCATGGCTTTAGTTTCTGCGTAGCGAGACAAGTAATCAGTGGCGACAATGATCCATCTGTTTCCTGTGGTAGAAGTTGGGAATGGGCCCAGGAAATCCATTCCGATTTGGGCGAATGGCTTTGCTGGTACTTGAACGGAATGTAATAAGCCTGCCGGCCTGCCGGGTGGTGCTTTGCGTCTTTGACAGTCGGCACATGTTTGGACGTGATGTTTTACAGCAGCAGGTAGGTTAGGCCAGTAGTAACTGTTTTGCAGACGGGACAATGTTCGAGTGTAACCGAGATGACCAGAGGTGACTTCATCATGGCAGGCTTCCAGAATTTCTTTTCGCAGTGATGCAGGGACGACGAGCAAGTATGGGCTGCCGGTGGGAGAAAAGTTTTTCTTGTATAGGACGTCGTTCCTTAAACAAAAAGATGGCACTCCTCTCGCAAAAATTCGCGGCACGTCTTCCCGTCGTCCTTCTAAGAAATCAATAAGCGAAAGCAGGTCAGGGTCACGGCGCTGCTCTTGTGAGATAGTGGCCGCGTTGATGACTCCCAAGAATGCGGCGTCCATAGACTCGTCATTAATAGCGGC